TCCTTCTTGTGATGTATGTTACAGGGTTTTAAGACGTACGTTGTGGACTGTGATAAGTATAAATGTATAAGGTAGTAGGTATTGTGTTTGTGAGTGTGTAGAATGTGTATTGTGCAAAGTATGTGTTTTGTGCTCTACAAAGCGATACGAATCATCAAAGACTTGTGTTACGTGCTCTAAAGTTTAACTACAGTAAATAATAAACTATAAATTCTTTAAATGACATAGCCAGCTGTTAGTTAGTATAAGAGTACACGTTAAAGTCTCCAGACGGTGTGTGCTTTGATCGAGGTTTGTCTTGAATGGTCGCCGCCTCCGACCGATTGATTTCCTTTTTTGTCTTCAGAAGCCTTCTTCTTGAGGATTCTGGACTTTGCTCTCCTCTTTTATATAATTTTATGTGCTGGCAGCAAGCGATTATGTTGGGGACAAAATCATCCTTTGATTAAATCTGGTTCTACTGAACTTTCAGCTGGTTTTGTTATAAGCATAGACTAGGTATTAGCTACTGATATACTTGACATGTTTTGACCACTTTATTTTTTGTAAATATATTTTTAAAATTATTATTGCAAAATGTTTTTTGATTTAAAAAAAGCTAATCGATTGTCTGGCTTTGTCGAAAAGTACATTGAGCTGTCTGTTATGTAACAGCGTCTCTTTTACTATTTTACTTGCTTTTAATCTTTGAAATACTAAAATATTGATTTATTGGGATACATGGCTTGTATTATTTATTTTTATTCTTACTATTTCGATTACAATTGAGTACTATAACTTATACCATATATTAATATAACTGATGTAAATAGTAAAGATTAGTTATACTGTGTCTCTTACTGCCATCTGTTACCAAAATTGTTTATGGAAATAACGTTTGGTCTTTCGAACATCTGGATATTAACCAAGATATCAGGTTTTGTTTTGGTAATGGCCCAAAACATATCGAATTATTCATGCACAACATGACATACGTGCTGTGTTTGTAATTTACTTTATCGAATTACTTTGTTTGTTTCCTGTTTCCACTTCTAATTTGATATTAACATAAGAATATGATGTTTTTAACACTCGGTAACTTTTAAAATGCGGATAATGTTATAGTATGTATACAATATTAGTATTATAGTAGCTATACACATGTGACAATATGTAATATAGTTAAGAATATGTTAATATCTTTACGGTATTATAAGATAACAAAAGTTGTTAAGCTTATACATATCATAGGATAACATAAGTAGTAAAGCCTGTATATATATCACATATGACAACATGTTAAACCACATAACGTTCCTCATTTCGAAGCGGATGAAAAGACAAGAGTAGTGGTCGTGTGTTGACAGCAGATTGTTTACTACAGTGATCTCTGGAGTTTGTTTCATGAAACTTTTGTTTTTTCGGATTGTGAAAGAGCCCCCTCCTTTCTCGAGAGTCTCTTTTAAGACTGTTTTCAGCCGGCTGGTAGACTTGCTTTACTTTTAACAGATTTTTCATAGCAACTAGACCACTTTGAATAGTTGTGAATGTATGTCTACATTGAGTAGTTGTTGATATATCAGTGATAGTATATTTGGTCACAGTAAAGTAAAATATGTCTTTTAGGTTTTAAGATACCTTATGAAAGTTGACTTTTCCTTTTTTCAACCGATTATTAAGATTTTTCGGGTTCAAAAAGGTCACTTTACTGCCTAAAATGACATAAAACTTCTTCCAAAGCTCTTTCTACTTAAAAATGGCAGTTTTGTTAAGGGGGGTCTCGTTGTCAATAAAAGCATTAAGGGGGTTCTTTTTATGGGTTTCGTTTGATCTTTTGGCCTTAACTCAACAAAGTTCAGGTTGTGATCGCTTTGATCTGTGATTAGTGATCGGTTTGATTACTAATTTATTCGTTTCATTAGTAACCAAACTGTCTTTCAGAGTAGATACATGTTTATGTATTAGACTACTTTAGTGTTTTAAATTGACTTCAACATTGTTATTGGTTTTTAAAGCTTTAATTTAACTTTTAGTATAGTTTTATAGAATACAATATTGTAATATTATTGTACTTTAATGTATGATATCGCAGAGATAGTATTATACGCACATATGTTGTGGTATCCAAGACTACTACAACATATGAATAGATATAGGATTAGGGCTGAAACCGGTTAATCTTAGTCATGTGTGGGATTACCATCTCCCAACAAATGTCTTACATCGATGAGCAAATGTTAATACGTTTACTTAAACTATGGGATTATGTCCTTGTGTTTTATGGTGTGATATGTCATTCCTGGAGTAATATTAGACTAGTATTACAACTATATTACACCACAAATGTTATTCTTTAGCTGCTTTACACTGCTCTAACGTCTACTTTGGGGGTTTTAAAGTTTAAAGCATATTATAGTAGGCCATTTGAAGGTCAAGGTAACTTTTAGGCCATTATACTGTGTTATTTCTATATTCACTATAAGGTTTATTTACGTTTCTCAGAGCAGATTTTGACGTTTAATCTAAAATGACTTTCTTGAAATATACTATAGAAACAGTTTCCACATACGATGCTGTTTGTCACCTCTGTCAAGTTGCTGTTGTAGACCGTTGATCAGAGTTTCCTCACATTATTGTTTGTCAAGATATTCCTCTTGGTATGTTACGTTTCGTCGCACATCCGTCGGTCGTTTCCACGTTTTTCTTTCGAATTTCGTAAAAAGAGAATCACGCGATCCGAGCATTACTATAATATAGCGATGTGTATATTTTTGTTTTGGGAAAATGTTTTTCTTTTGATTAGATATATCAGGATAATCACTTTTATTGGTTTGTTGTGGTACTTGTTGGTCTATCAGGTATCTTTTAAATACGTTTTCTTTAGTTTTTAAGGCTTTCAAGATGTTTTAGGTCTTTAACTTTTAAAAAAGACAAAATGTTCACCATCTTTCGAGTCTGCCACTTGAAAAAGATCACTTTTTGGTCTTCAGCTTTTGCGAAATACCAAAAGAATACCAACTTGATAAGAGAGTATTTTAACATATCACAAACCACACGTCTTCTCGTGACTTTCGATGGAATGTTAATGGTCGAGTATTTGAAAAAAAAGAATTAAAATGTTATTTTTATTCGAATATTAATGTGTTTTGTCTGATTTTTTGTGTATTATATGAGCTCTCTGCATAACCACTCCTTTAAACTTTTTTCGTGATGATGTAGAGACTTTAAAAGTGTGGGAAAGAGTTTTAAAGAGGAGGAGCGGTCACAAAGATAATATTTTCTTAATTTTTAAGAAAGGTTAGTCCAAGCTTGATCTTTAAACCAATTTTATATTGAAAAAGTCATAGATTATTTCCTTGTCTTGACGCTATAAAGGACGAGGTTTCCGAATATTTTGTTATGTTTGTTTTTTGTTTGTTTTCATAAAAAGCAAACATCACGTCGTTATCAGAAATCAGATTTCCAACACTTTTTGAATTTAAAAATTCGAAAATACTCAACAAAATTTTTTAACCTGTGGTCGTTAACTTAGTAGAAGATATGATAAAATTGTTGATAAAATTGTTTTTTAGTGTACTTCTAAAGACTTTTTGACCTAATTCTGTGTTCAGAACAGTATTTTGTGCACTGTTGAAACATATTCTTGTAAATTGATAATTATAGGTCTTAGTGTATTATTATGTCGTGTACAACATGTACGCCTATGTAATGACTAAGTAATGGGTTCGAAATGTGTAGATTATGAGAAAATGTGTTTATTTATAACATACTACTGTACTTTTACAAGGTTCATATGACATATTTGGTTACGAGATGATAAAACTATCTTTATAGCTTATATATATAATTACATAAGACTTACTTTACTCTCATTAAGATTAGTCTGTAGTATTTTTATTTATTTTAATATTTAACTGATAAGACGGTTACAACGCACGTATGATTTGTATGTGTTTGTCTATCACAAACTACTATCGTGACCCTCGAGACAGACTCACTCTCGACGTTCTCGATATATATAGATTCGGAAAGTAATTCAAATGGGCGTGGATGCTAGACTTTGACCTGGATATCATTTGCATGTTATCTATCTTGAATATGTTTAGTATGTTTTATTCTATCTTATTACTTCATACATCTCTAAATGGCATATACTTTTACGAGTTGAAATACTTTTACATTTAGAGCTCAAACACAACATGGCTTTTACATCCGTGATATACTCTGTGCTTTACATTGTGCTTAATTACTTTATAATTCAAAATTGTAAGATTAATATGTTGTTTGTTTACTTTGTTATTCATAGATCGCTTCGTATTTAGTTCCGGGGACTTTTCGATAACGATTGTGTATATAAGGCAAGTATAATGTAGATTTACTCTGTCATTTTATGTCAAAGAACATTTTTACTATAAGTTTTTGCACGATTTAAAAAGACTTACAGTAAAATAAAACAAAACTTATTTTGTACAAATCTATATCTATTTTTACTATTGTATACATAAAATCTTTTGTACAAAAGTAAAAACAAGATATATACGATGTTATTCTGCAAATATTATTGTGTTTTTGCAGAGTAAATCGATGTATATTACTTTGAAGGTGTACATACGATGAAAAGAAAATGTAAATAATCTTGTCTTTACATATTATACATCTTCATATTCATGTATGTACATAAAACATACACATAGATCCATTCTGATATTATATGTATGGTATACATATATAAGTATGATAAAGGTCATTGTAAATGTAGAAATGCCATTTTTAATCATACATAGTTTGTAATATATAAATGCGTGTTCGTATCTTACTATGACGTGATTTACACTTGTTTGTATCTTACTTTACTTTACATTACTACACCTGTCGAAGTATGTTACATTGCGGGTCGCATCCGTTGTTACACTTACATCGCGTGTTTACTGAGTAAATGATGGTATTTGCAGCAATACGTCGATTGATCTCAACTGCTTACATTGGGGCAGTCGGCAATAACTTTGGTCTCAGGAAACGCTATGGAGGTCGACGATGTAAGTCAGCTTATTTACTGTGATGCTTTTAGATATATTACAGTATTATATGTTATATTTGTATATTGTTGTATCTTTATCTAATAGTTTGGAGGTTAACGTTTACACATAGCTATTACTATGCAACTATAATATTATACTACGTGTCAGTATTTTCTTTCATAGCTAATATTAGTCGAAAACTAGCTAGATATACTTATAATTACATGTTTAAGACATTGTAAAGTTTCAGTAAAATGTAATTTGTACACTTTTATAATAGTTACTGTAAACTTTACTTACAATGACTTAGTGTAAGGTTTTGTTTAGCTAATCGAAGCACGAATTCGTTAAATATGTTCAAACAGTCTTAAACTACAAAATACACGTTCGTATCTTGTGATATGTCGTGTGGTTGTGTTTATTTTATTAGTTTAGTACTTTAAAATTTCTTTTCAACTTTTATAGCGTAAAGTAATAGTATCAACTGTATAAGACACAGTATATATTAGCACTAAACACATAGGTACAGCATTACTTATTAATTTACTACGTATATCTTATATCTTTTGTGCTTTTTATATCTTTAGCAAAATTTTATTTATTTTTAACATTGTATACTGTATATATATATACATATGTATGCATATACTGTACTTTAAATTGTCATGTTGTCTCACCTTTCGTAACCCATGTGTAACAAAACTAGAGTTTGCAGCGTATCCGAAGTACGTTGTAACCTTTTGTTTGTGCAGAATCTGGAGATCGTTGGTCTCTTGGGCCTGGGACAACAGCAAAGCCTTTACATCCATTATACTGCCTTTTCTCTTAACTTTGTCCTTAATATCGCCGTTAGCTTGCTTATTTCCATCTTTATTTTAGAGTTTGTGCTTTTCTACTCATTCTGTATTGTACTTTAGTGAGCATAACATAGGTTAGTTTTTACTGTGTTTTATTTTACTCATACCTATATTATACATAGGCTATATATTAAATTGTATATCTTTCATCTTTATATTATAGTAGTTTTTGAATCAAAATGCCAATATTAAATGACATGTGAATCCAAATCCTACTATACCTGTTAATACACGCTAGGATAATTGAGTTTTCTATGGGCAAACATCACTTGAGTAGTAAATATTTACCGTGGTTAAGAGCTTTCTCGGCATCGTACTATTTTTGGACGTTCAGTAACATATAGTATGATTTCTGTTTACTTAAAGAGCCAAGATAACCATGGTTTTTGGTGATTTATGATATTATAATAGGTAAGAGTTGGTCAAAAAGTGTGTAGAATCTGATATTCTTGACCTTACTGTATTATTTTACTAACTTTAAAGCCAGTTTATGTATCATAGCATGCTTTTTAACTTCTATAACCTAACTATGTTGTCACTTACATTTTTTTAACATACTACAGTAATACCAAGTAAATAAAACAAACACTTAAGACAAGTGTTTTCAAACTGTTATCATAACATGTCTTGCACTTTACTATGGTATTTAAATTCGTACTTTCATGTTCGTATTGTTTATTGTTGTTGATAGTAAGACCATTTAGTGTATTTTCGTAGGGATGTACATTTCTTACGGTATATTCTAAAATTAGTAGGTTCATTGTTATATTAGTACTATCATTAGTGCTATATTAATACTACTATTAGTACTATTGTTAGTACTAATTATAGGCCATAATTTTGTAACTAATTACAGACTACATTTCTTGTTACAGTACTATTTGCAAATTAAAACCTATATAGTACTACTACTATATATAGCCCAATCTTTGGCCCATTGTTTACGACTGTTACCGGTCGTTTTCCGCATAAATAAAGTAACCGGAATGAGTGACTCTGTTTTTGTTATGCGGGTCATTGTAGGGAATAATAACACCAGCAGGTTGTTTATCTACGGTTTAAGTAAACCATTATCTTATTGCAACATACGACTATGTTCCCATGATCTGTGGCCGTTGGGACACAAAACATTGTGTCCGCGAGAGAGTGGGGTAATTAGAGAGGCGGCGGAGAAGGAGGGGGTGTTAGGAGTGAGGGAAAACTGGTAAACAACATCCCTTCAAATGGCCATCAGGTCTTTGGTCAAGTTGTTGTTGTCAATGTGCTACAGTAGTCGATTTCTGGTTATCTTGAGGATTCTCGGTCATCTGTTTGGTCTTTTGGCAATAAAATTATATTGTGATTCTTGGCAAATACTCTATAGATTTACTATTTATATCCTATAATCTGCAATATGTAAATTACTATTTTCGTAAATATGTGTCTGTTTTGATATGCAGACGATATTTATACACACCATATCTAAATGAATATCATTTCAGCTTCTCCACAATGATCACATGGACCCATTAGCCCCGTTGGACCCGTGCCAACCCATCCTACAGCACCAACAGCCCCACTGCTCCAGCGTTCAGCAGTCTGAGTGTATTCTGAATCACGCCATCAAACGCGGCCGCCTTCAATACCTATATGCACCTCAAAATGGCCATGTAGCCAGCTACAAGTCTCCCAGTCACATTCCCGCTTCCTTGATTGCACAGTACGAGTACGAGCGAAGCAACAAAGGACCTTCCATGTTTCCGCCACAGGGCATGAGCTACGACCAAGAAGTGGTCGACATCAGATGGACGGGTCACCTGGATGGCACGGCCTATGCACTTTTGAGGTAAGACTTTGGAATGTAACCTGCCTAGAATAAGAAAAGGCCAGCACTTAATGGCCTTTGAACATATTTTTAAAATGAGAAATAAATTTTCGCTTGTTTAAAAATTACATTTCAGGCATAGCGACCAAGTGCACCGCCTTGTCCCATTCCTGTGGGCACAGGCCCACTTCCCCGAACTTATGAGACGCCACCTCCAACACCAAGAGCAACACCAACATCGTAACATAAAGCCTATCGTGCATAGACAATGGAATCACGTTAATCCGTCAATCAGGCGTCCTCAACGTGCTCCTCACCTTCCTAACGTAGTGAGACCCAATCCTCAGTTCGTTCAACAAAGCTCCAACAACTTCCATTTCCACCCCAACCCGGAGCTCCGTCTGAATGAGGATGTTCAGGTGAATCAAGTCGAACGCCCCCTTAATCTACCCCTGCCCAACCTTAACCACGGTCTTAACGTAAATCAGGCCCTTCCGAATGTTAACCAAGGCAACCTGAACCTTCCTTTCAATGCCAACAACAATATCATGAACTCACTGCCTCCAAACCTTCAACCAGCTTCATTCCTCGACGTCCAGAATCCTTTAAATCACTTCATCGACCGTGCCACGCCTTTTCCAATATTCGACTCGGTCGCCACCACCTTGGGCCAGGTCATGACCAACGTCCAGAAGTCTGCTTCTAACGTGGTCATCAGCGAAGATCCTTATCAGGAGAAGCCCGAGCCTTCTGGAGATGACGATGAGATCCCTCCAGACCCGTTTAACATCGCTACGGGACTAGAGACACCGTTCAATCAGCACTTGTGTAGCGTCAACACCACCACCGTGCTGCGGCGTCAGAATCGGAAGCTGACTCACGATGTAGCAATGGATTCGGGCGAAACAACCTCAGGGCACGTCGCTAAGAGACGTAGAATGTAAATAATCTTACTGGGTACCTAGTAACTGGTACTGATAGTACTGTGTCAATTGGTACTCATAGCATCAGTCTGACATAGACATTACAGTATCATGTGTCATATGATAGTACAGTATCAGTAAAGTACTGATATTAAAGGTCATTCTGACACTGATAGCTCCATATCAGTCTCATACAGTATCCTTATTGTTTATTATAACCAATTGTAATAAAATTGTTTACCTAACTGTGGAATACTGTCAATTTCGTTTTACAGTAATCCTTACTATAACATTGATCAGTTCGACCAATTTTTTCGTTTTTAAAAACTGTTTAGCAATTCAAAAACATGTTACCAAGCTAATAGTTACTGTAGAACTAAGTCAAATTACAGTATTACCATATCCACGTTAAAGACAAGTTTGTTACCGTATACCACTTTAATTTATGTATATTGCATATTAAAAATGTAATAACTTTAATTTAAATTGCCTTTAAAACAACTGTGCCATTAAATAAACGTATGTGAAGACCCGTTATGTTGTTGTGGATCTGTTGTAGTAATACTTTGACAATGAGAGAGACAAACACTTATGACAAGATATCAGTGATGGAACTCGTATTTTATAAAAGAATAGAAATCCGATACGAATTCACATCAGAGCACGGTAATTTTAAGTAGCTACATTGCATATAACTACTTACATGTAACTACTATAATGTATAAGAAACTGTGAAAATGGGTTACAAAATAATATACAAGGTATTAGAACGTCAAAACTATAACAGTTAGCCAATAAAGTAATAGCTATAGCTACCACAAGCCAGTCGCTTCAGTATACTATATACCATGGTTAATATCACTTTCCTAGACTGTTCCGCAACGCACTTTCGTCATCTTTGATCCTACTAAAAATTTCCACAGTTTTTAAAATCCATAATGATATCTTTAAAGTACAATAACTTTAACAGCAACCACTAACATATCTACAAGCTAAAAAAGCAATTGTAATAATTAAAAGTTTAGAAAAACTTACTCTACTATCATCCCAATAAAAGGTAAAATCTCATCTGAATCCTGCTCTCGTGCCCATTGAATAAAAGGATGTTGTAGTAGGTCCTTATACTTGGGACGTTGTTTACAATCCTTGATCAGACTGCAAATTTGAGCATTACATTCAAACGCTATAAAGTGACATTCAGAAGCCGATTTTGTCTTCTTCATGATAACTTTTTCACTAATGACCAAACAAGTGAAAAGTAAAGTTAAAAAACTTTATAAAAACTTGCCACACAGTAATAAAGTCATGTAATTGTGATGAGTATCCACGAGAAGGATTTAAGGAAGGTGGGGCTTCTTGAACAACTTGTTTTAACTGTTCAAATGGAGTCTTCCAATGAGCATATGGATGTTGACCATGAGCTATCTCTAACTAAACAACAAATTTCTAGTTTCAGCAATAATTCTAACTTTTTAAGAAACTATTTATCATTTTTATCATAACAATATTTGCACAAAAGCGTAGGCAAACTAAAAAAAAAACAAATTCAAAATAATCAACATACCAAAGTAATGCCAAGACTCCAAACATCAGCTTGAACTCCGTAAGCCTGCTTCAAATCTCCATCGATTCTTTCTGGAGGCATATAAGGTTTGCAGCCGGCTTGTAATGTCTTGGCCACTGAGTTTGTCAGCTGTCCTGAAATCCCGAAGTCACAAATCTTGATAGTGCCATTCCGAGCGATGAGAATATTTGAAGGCTTCACATCTCGATGAATCAGACCCATTTCTTCTTTCATAAAGTTTAAGCCATCCACCAGCTAAAAGCAATTGTCATATTAAGGTACTGAATGCCATCACTTACCGAAACAGCCACCTTTCCAATAATGTTTTCAGGCATCTTCTCTCCAATATCCGTTACCTTTTTGTAAAATTTGTCCAGAGATATGTCCATTACTTCCATACAAATCCACACATCGTTTTCTCTGAACATTGCTCCATAGAATTTCACCATCTAAACAATAAGACTATCAATTATAAGGTCCACATACCAATTCACAGTTTTTGCTCTTCATACAGGTATCTAACTCCAGTAACATACGACGTTGTTCTTCATCGTTGCTCGAAAAATGTATCCTCTGAAAGTAAATAAATATGATTCTGTCAAATAAAGCAGCTTTTATAATTTAAACAACTTTATAACTGAATTACCTTAACAGCAAAGTGTCGTTTTGTAACGGTATGTTCCATCTCTTCAACCACACCATAAGCACCCCGTCCAAGTTCACGAACTACGACCAGATCTAATGCTGTTACCAATACTTTCTCTCCATTTTCTCTAAAAAAGTATCATTAAGCATAAGTAAAGAATAAGTCACATAAATAATAAGAAAGACTTACTCATAGTAAAACTTATCATCGAGATCCACAGTCGCAGCTTTGGGCATTTCCGGCATCTTCAATTTAGGCATCATTCTTTTCTCTAAACAATATTGTAAATTAACAGATTTTTACCGCCATTTTATTTAGATTCAGAGTTGTTTTAAACGTTCTACCAATGAGAATTCCTAAAACATAAACAAAATAATAAAGACCTTACTCTGCTTCATTCCACCTGAGCTCGACGGTTCTGACTCCATTTCTGCAAGATTCTCCAAAGCAATATCTTGCTATAGAGTCAAGATATACAGCGGATACAATGCCGTTCACACCCGTGCTACTGAAAAGAAGTAAATGAGCATATCAGTAAGGAGAGCAGTTATTTAAAGACTAGAATTGTAGCTCAAACGTTGAGAGCAAAACCAAAATAGCTTCATAAACAAAAGAAAATACAAAATTGTAAATTAAAGATGTAAACACGGCTACAAAATACCTAAAGTTATATTGAGTTAAATGTTAAGACGTGCGCAATCAAATGTTACTACAATTCTAATTCTGAAAATAGTATGAATTCAAAAAATATCGCAATTTGTGGTTGAATGATAAGAAGAAATGTAAAATTATGTAAACAACATGTTGTAAAGATTAATTCATAGCCAAAATTAACGAAAAAACTATTTGAACGAAATGCCACAACGAAATGCCAAAAAAATTTTGGCATTAAAGTTTTCGCTGTTTAAAATTGGCAACTGATTGCAACAATGACTTTTTTGTTTTGTAAAATATAAAATCTACAAATACTAAATTATATGTTAGTTAATTTACAAATGTAGTATTATTCAGTCGAATCAAAGCACCAAACTCTTAACATTTTCAATATAAACCAATAAACTGGTACTGTTATATGATGTGACCAAATAACAAAATTAAGTGTATTTAAATAAAAATGGAATTTACACTTCATACTTTTTTAAAGCTAACTAAAACTGTATAAAGTTTGTAAAAGAAAGAAAACAATTATAATATCATATCACATGGCATGACACTTTCCCCAAACAAAGAAGGAGCTCTTACTAATCTTTAATGAATAATACAAAGTTTGCATGTTTTATAGCGTCTTATCTGTAAACAAATTGCTTACGTTTCCATAAAAGTTCATGCACCCACAACTTCCGCCACTCCTACTACAACTTTAATTATGAGTCATATTGTTATAGGAACAGAAGGCATGACAATATTAATTAAACACTTTTTAAGTTCTTAGTTAATGTTAGGGATTACACAGTAACAAGGTAGATTTGTCATTGTACAAGATAATACAGTTCCATTCGAAAATAATTATAAGCTGGCGACACAATGCCAAATTGGCGCCAAATCCAAAATATAATTAAAAAGTGAAAAGTTGAAATTGACAATTTGCATAGTAGTAACAGATAAAATGAGTAGTTTTGCTCAATTGTTGAATCAAATCAGAAGTCGATAACATTCCTCTTATGGCTTTGAAACAGAACGCCAATCCCGCGAAAAATCCGAACTCAAAAAATAAAATTTTTCTCATCGAAAAACCTCGAAAACAAATGATTCTCCGTCGAATTTCCTCAAACTCTCTTCTGTAACTGTCGGATCTTTGTCTTCAACTCAATTTTGTACATTTCTATCGTCTTTCAGTCAACTTTATTTTAAAATGGAATCACAAACTCGACATTGGGACTTGAAACACTTCGAAATTGGGAAAGAGTTGGGCAATGGCCGTTTTGGAACTGTTTTCTTGGCGAGGGAAGCCCAAAGCATGTTTATTGTGGCTCTGAAAGTGCTGAACAAAGCTGAACTTACCGAAGACATTCAACATCAGATCAAGAGAGAGGTCGAAATTCAATATCACTTAAGGTAGGGCTTTATGTATTGTTTTATGTTTAGGTAATATCACGGTTGGTAACTTGATAAATATTTGTGGATTTGACAGGAATAGACAGACTTTAATTATTTGGCTGGTTTTTCCTTATTATTTTCATTTATTATCAACATACACAGTTTCAAATGGTATGTTTCAGACATCGCAACATAATTCGCTTGTATGGCTACTTCCACGATGTCAAAAGATTGTATTTGGTTTTGGAATATGCTAACCATGGGTCGATATTCTCACATTTGAGGAAGGTTGGTCACTTTTCGGTACCTTTGGCTTCTCACCTCTTCTTGCAATTGGCGGATGCCATCACTTATATTCACGATATGGATGTTCTTCACAGAGACATTAAACCGGAGAACATGTTACTCAACAACAAGACTTTGAAGTTGGCTGACTTTGGATGGGCTTGTCATAAAAAGTCTTCCAGGTAGGATAATGTATGGTAACAAAACTTTTATACGTACAGCCTTACAACGCGGACTGATAACAAAGTATAGATCTGTGACAATTATATTGGCTTTAAATTTTAAACATTAGTCAATAACATACTTATGTTGACAATGTAAACTTTCAGGCTGATGACTTACTGTGGAACGCCAGATTACTTGGCACCAGAGATGATAAAAGTTGCTAAAGAGCCCTATGATTTTGGAATTGACCTGTGGGCTATGGGGATCACTTACTTTGAATTTTTGACTGGAAGGACGCCTTTCCACAGTCATCTGAACTCACCGAGGAACACCCATCTCTACAAGAATATCTGCGCTCTCAACTTCGATGTTCCTAAAGATTTCCCAAAAGAAGCGTGGACCATTGTCAAGAATGTAGGTATTGGTAAAGATTTTGTTCTAGTCCATTTTTTTAGCAGGTTATAGTTTTGCCTAACTTTCTGTCAACCTTATTTTAGTTTAAATTGTATAAATTTAGCTGTTGGCCAAGAACCCAGTTGACCGAACGAAACCAGGTGTGGTAATGCAGAATTCATACCTAATCGAGCAGGCCAAGCAAATCCAAGAGGACGAGTTCCCGAGCCGAGTGACGACAAGGTCGGAAGTACCATAAATTCTACAAATCTTCTAGTGTTATCGAGCTTTTAATTGCTGTTTATGTGGTGTCTAGTTTTAACCAGTAAATTGTACTTATTTACATGTTATTATTAGGTATATATTTTATTCATAATTAGAGGTATTTTAGTGATCTTGTAAGAGCAATATGCAATACGCCGTACGATATGTGGTAGACCAACATAGGCTGTGTAACGTTGAAGAGTATGGAGGAAAATGAATCATAACTTGTCCACAAACTCTTTCAACTAAAAATGTAAAGTCAAATTATGTGCTTCATACCTGTTCTGGCGTAAATTCATAAATCAAAGGCTCCTTTTTGTCATCAGTGTGAAGTTTCAGCTGAACCAAAGGTTGTAAGTTCTGTGGGGACCCGTCAACAGCACACGTTAACTATAAGAAGATGATAACCGCTTAAGTTTACATGTTCAAACATTACTTTAGCTGTCCAATCAAAATCTACGAGTTTCTGAGACATTTTTTGCCACAAATATCTTTGCAAATAATAAACTGTATATTGCTTTATAACAAATTTGGTCAAAAAATTTTATTTTTCCTTTTTTGCGAACTGCGTCCACAATATTACTTTTAGAAAACTGCTATTTGTAAAGTTTGAAGTTTATTCCCATAATATTTGCTAAGAAGTGCTCATTAAATGCAATTGTGCTTCAATGAATTTTACAACTAAAAGTTAACAATTTTTAAGCTTTTGCACTTACATTATTTGTCGTATAAGTTGTCGCTCGCACTTTGCGTTTTCAAAAATTGGGCGCGACTCACACAAAATAGCTATTCAAAAAAGACAAAAATTTGTCCGGCAAAATCGGAGGGTCTGTTGTGCGCGGACTTCGTTGTGGAGGTATGTTTGACATAATTTTAAGGTATTTTAAAGTTTTTAACAATTTACATCGTATTTTTGTTCACAAGTTATTTTTGATCGCTTTCAATGGCACAACTTAAAAAACCGTTTTTAGAGGTATATGCCTCCTAAAAAGAAGACCCCAGTTCGCAGGAAGAGTACCAAAAGGAGGAAGACTAGGAAACGGAAAATGTATTCATCAAAGTCCAGAAGACCCATCAGTAATAGTGCTCCATCAACAAGTGGGGCACGACAAGAAACCCCACCACCAGAGGTTTTGGATCTGCCTCGACAGGTCGATGTGAAGGTGGAGAGGCCAGAGTTGAGCCCAGATATTAAGAATGTTTGTTCTCAGAAGCTGTTCAAGGTATTTGGGCATCAGAAGTTTCTGAGTGTGCATCAGAAGATGGCCATCATGCTGGCGTTGAAGAGTACGCTTTGATTTATATGTGTATTCCAATATTTAGGTTTTTTAAATTTTTTTGCATATGTGTATGAAAAACTGCACATAAAGCGTATTTTTCCTTTAAATCCATTATCAGCACTAAACTATCATTTTAGGACAGAACGACTTGATGGTTATCTTTCCTACCGGATCTGGTAAATCTTTGGTATATCAGTTGCCGGCTCTTGTACATCCTGGAGTAACTATTGTGTTCTCTCCGTTGCTGGCCTTGATTGCAGATCAAGTAAAGGAATTACAACGAAAAGGAGTAAAGGCTGAGGAACTCAACTCCAATGTCACTGGAGAAAAGTTCAAAAAGGTTATTTCGGTAAGGTTTAGGTAACTTTCATGATGATTGTTTGATTTGCTTGAGTAAGTTAATATTTTATTGTAATACATTTACTTTAAATGATGTCTTTAGGACTTGTCGAGCTCACATCCATTAGTTAAACTACTGTTCATAACTCCGGAGACGGCTGAACGATCAGAATTCAAACAAGCTCTCCGGACGATGGTATCCAATAATACTCTAGCTTATTGGGTAGTAGACGAAGCACATTGTTTGTACAAATGGGGATGTCATTTTAGGTAATTTAATTTTTATGGTGCTCTATAGTATGACTAGTACAAGATCCATTTTGTTTTTATGACGTAGTTATTTGAAATTATACTATCCATATATAATAAATAAAACCGTAAAACGTTATGTATGTCTCTGATTCCAGACCAAACTACAAAAAGCTGATTGAAATCAGACATTTGGTACCAGAAATACCATGCTTAGCTTTAACTGCCACTGCGACCAACCTGGTGCAGCATTATCTGAAGAAGAAGCTGAACTCTCCTCAACTGGATATGCTACTGGTAAAGGCGCCGATGTACAGATCTAATTTATATTTTGATGTGAAGTTCAAACACCAGCTGACCAAGGGAGTAGAGGTTAGTACAACATATTTTTATGTGATAAGATTTGTTTTAGACAGAAATATCAGACTTTGCAAAGAAAGTGCTGTATCAAAATGGATCTATCTCTACTGGCTGTGTTCTAGTGTTTACTGTAACATGTGGAGATGTTGATGACTTGGCAGCTGCTCTTAAACTTCGTGGACTAAAAGTTCTTGCTTATCATTCGAAGAAACCTCAAAAGGTAAGTTTTATAGTTGTTGATTTGAGTAATACATTGTTATTTAACAATCATTTGCTAATTACTAGACTGAACAGTTTGCTATGTATTGTAATTTCAGGAAAAAGATGCCATTCTCGACGCTTTCCGAGCCGGCCGTGCCCCAGTGATCGTATCAACATCAGGCTTCGGTATGGGAATTGATAAAGCTGATGTAAGAGCAGTAATTCACCACCGTTTCGCTTTGTCCATCGATGATTACCTTCAACAAGCTGGAAGAGCGGGCAGAGATGGGAAGCGATCTTATTGTAGAGTTTATTTCGGCAAAGACGACCTGAACCTGCTGTCCTTTATATCTCGAGGCGAGAAGAAGAAGACTTCAGTGGAGGATGCTCAAGGATACTGTATGGCTACAGAATGCAGACATGTTATTCTAGCTAGGTCAGTGGGAGACGAAGTAGATGCTTGTGAACGAAACTGTGATGTTTGTCAGAATCCAGAGATTGTCAAAAAGTCAGTGGAGCTTTGTGAGTCTTCAGATACCAGTAAATCGAGGGTTGGAGGGAAACGAGGGCGAGGAGATCTTCTAGATAACATTAGAGAAACGTGCAGGAGCTACAAGCAGGAGAATGGAGAGGAGGAGACCTTTGGACCGTCCAGCTACAGTCCAAAACAAAAGATCATGAAGTTTGACATTGCCAAGAGAAAGATGTCGTATGTCGACGCTGACAGAGGTAGGATTCTGGATAATATTTTTGGTAACAATACTAGGATCCCCGGTATTACAAAATAAACCATTTTCAGCTCACGAAAAGACGGTGACTGTGGTGGGCAAGTTCGCGGCTCCAGAAGACGACGATAAACGGAAGAAGATGCGAGATTGGCTACAGAAGAAGCTAGCCCAGAATCCTTTAAGCAAAGACGATGCAGATGTAGCCTTAGCAATGGCATACGAGCTTGAAGACAGAGCGTACTCTAGTAACTCGTCATACCAGAATTACCAGGCCCTTGTAACGGGCTATGTTATGCAAATGAGTCGGGACACAAAAGCGGGTGTAAAATATGTCATTCCGAGTGTAACATAAAATACGGAAATGTAATTTGAATAACATATATCGAAATATAAAGCATATGAATACTATGTCAATTAGATACGAATTTTGGAAAAGTGATTTAATAACAAGTAACAATAACAATGATCAACAATCTCAATTCTTTCTACAACCTAACACATAATATCGTTAAAAATTGAAAACAAATAACTTTAAAATAACCTAATATATCCTGTAAACTAGCTTCTCTAAAGCTGGTAACAATTACGTTAAAAATAGCCACTAACTACGCTAAAATAGCTACTAACTACGATATACAAAACGTTAATAATATTGACTAGAACTCTCAGTGTTCGTTGTCCGGATCAAAACCGTAAACTGTTTGGTAAGCACGACAGACGGCTTCTCTGATGGTTTCGATCTGCTCATCGTGACGTGGGCGATCGTGTTCTCGCAGATAGTCGTGCGACTGTTGGCGGAAGTGGATGAAGAACTCGCGAGCATCGTCAGCTGATATGTGATTCAGAATGTACTCGGAGAAGCGGACTTTGTTGTTGGAAGGGAAGAGCCACTAAAATTGTAATGTTCAGTTTACAGAACTAAAATTGTTTTTTAAGGCATGTGTAGATCCAGTTGAGGAAGAAAAATTCTATATCCAAAATTACTTTCACATATCGCTTAACATTAAAACTGATTTTCTTACCCGTAAAATGTAGAAGAACACTGATGCCGCTTCTGCAAGCATGCCCGAATCCACTCGGACAGTTATAGTTATCAAAGCCAAGTAAGGTTGCAAGATAAGAAGAGTTACAAAGTTCTGCATCGACCACATTGGACTAGCTAAAACAATTTTCACTTGTTCTGGTTTTCCGTTAAGAATCACTTTTTTATAAAAAATACAATAATCTTAATAGTATTACGACTAACTTACTTGTCAAATCTTCTAAAAGGGCAAAGCATAATCTTTTGGACCATCTGATGGACTTGGGTACATCATTGTTCTCCAAAGATGGTAAAAGACGGAAGAATTCAGAGATCCCATGAAGTTCAGCTGGAGCCAGATGACCTTCTTCTATTTCCTCATAATTAACGGCTACTGCAACAAAAAGTTTACTAGCAAGAGCATTCTTTATAATCCCAAACATTAAGAACAGTAAACAGTGAGTCCCTATGAAATTAACCTTAAGTTGATCAAAGACACAACAATAAACTCTCTAGCAGTGTTACACAACCTACTTTTGCCATTGACAATCTTCCTCGGCCCGAACAGTAACATGACTATGATATATTCAATTCTCGTGGAGTGAAGCGACGCAAAGTATCGTAGAAATGTTGAGAATACCAGTGCTTTTGTAGCGTTCTCCATCTGAACATTGAAGACAGTCTCGCGGAACCTCATATACAATTCTGTTTCCAATGGGGTATAGGTATTGGACTTTAGGCGGATTTGGATATAACTATTGACATCTGCTTTGAAAAAGGCTTCTATCACACCTCTGACAAGACGAATTCGGGAATCCGGAGACACTCCATAGATAAACTAAAATGAATTTTAAAAAACTTTATATATGAAATTGTAAGATAAGAATAAAAACATTATTCATAATACTTTAAATGTTAATCTTTAAAAAATTACCGTCTGTAACATCATCGGAAGAGGTATATTGTCTCTGTAGGGAAAAGCTGATACCATCCAGTTCAGCGCTGTTTGATAATGGAAGATATTGAATTCATCTGCGAAGAGAACTTTCACTGAAATGACATACACAACATATATTAACCACGAGATTTATATGAACTATAAAAGATATTTCCTAAAATAATAATCCCAAAAATGTTACCTAAAATCATTTAGTTCTTAAATTCTACGAACTTTTTGACTATAAAAGTGTCCTTTAAGCTAAGAAAGCAAAACTTACTGATAAATTCGCACATTTTGACATTTTCGTTCTCAGTCCTGATGACAGAAAACCATCTGGAGATCCTCGAGATATGGGATTGCTTCTTCAGAAACCTTTCCACTTCATATTTGGCCTTCTTTGAAGTTTGTTGAAGACGGATCAGATCAGAAACATCCAAATACTCTAATATCTGCCACAAACTCTCGCGAGGCAAGTGTAAGATGCTCTTCTTAGATTCTGATTCTCCTGAAAACAATATTATAACCAAACATATGTTATAAAGCTTTATTTACAACTTGAATCCAAAAATATATGTTCAATAGAAATATTTTAAAATAAATAAGATACCTAACTGTTGTGTTCGTTTCTTCTTAGACTCTACAGCAACAAGAGCATGCTCTTTTCGCTTTCGGAATGACAAGAACGATGTTATCTTCTAAAAATACAATAATACTCTCCAAAGATAAAAAAAACATAAAATGATACGTCTACTACAATATTCATAAACCAACATACCTGAAGGGCAAACATAACCCGTCCAATCAATGGTCTTTTACCTCGGAACCCAGAACAATCATAATTCTTCATTATTGTATTTATTTTTGGACAATTTCAGCGAGAAAAGCTTTCGCCGCGGGACCTATTCTGAAAATTTTGATAAAGCTAATCGTCAATCAGAGTTGATGTTAGAAAATTACAAAGAATCCTCCACGTTCTTCTGGTGCTTTTTTTAAATCTTTTCTATTATTTTTTTGACCAGTAAATATAATATCATGTATTTGTGAAAATAATGTAAAAAATGGCTCTATTCGTAAATACTGTTACTTTTACAGATTTTCTCACTGCCAAGTCAAAATGAATTTTGGTATATTTGGAAAACAAAAACCTCATTAAACTATTTCCTGTCGCATAACCAATATCAAGATAAATAGCTTATTATGCAAATACAGCGATACATAATAAAATAAGTGCCTCAAAGGTGATGGTAAAGCTATCACAATATGTGAAAGGAATGGCAAACGCGGAATTGTTTTTTATACGTAATAAAAGTGTAATTAATCTAACCTTATGTTTATAACGGATGATTCCGGGAGGGATCCGCTCCCATTTTGTTTTTGTTTTTCGAGAGAAACGGGATAAGGAACAACAACTTTGTTGGGGGATGGTCCCGAAATGGACATGCAATGCATTAATGACCTCTAATTGTCAGCCGGTTTGCATAAGCAAATTGTTATGACTAACAATGGTAATTTGTGTCGTTGAATTTTGTACTTTTCTTGTTAAAATTAGAGCTCAAGTGTTACCTAAACTTATAATTAGAAAATTCAAAATATTTATTTGCAAGGTGACTACAATAATTATCAGGTAAAATAAGGTGTAAAATCACATAAAACATATTTTTAAAAGTATTCACCATTTTGATGACTATACCATGGTCGATTTAAACTCAGTTATAAGTTTGTTTTCGGCCAGAGTAATGTAATTTACTTTTCTCATCTCGTCAATCACAACAACTCGAGAAGACTGGCATAACAGCCATTAGAACATCACAAAACGTCAAACACTCAAATTCAAATTTTATTTACGGCTCAATTAAATATTGTACGACGTAGTTGATGTGCCTGGGGACTAATATTTTGTCGCAATCGGTTCTGGAACATTCCTCGACGGTGTGTGGGGCTCTCAGCGTCCAAAAGGGTACATGGTCGTATTTGGTCGGGTTTCCGGGTATGCGGAAGCCAATGTCTTTCAGGTTCTGGATCAGATTCTTCAACGACGGTGACGGTTTCTGGTAAAATTGTTGATCCGCGATCCTCCAGCCTTTTTCTGAATGTTCAAGAGGACGAATGATTAGCTAAAATAAATAATATAAAGTCGGCTATAAATGAGTAATATTACAATTACAAATACTATTATTAACCAAAACTTACAGAACCACCACGACTTTTATAAGCGAACAACAATCGACTACAAACGTTAATCTTATCGGCTTCATTTTCTAATTTGTTGTAGTAAAACACACCAAACCGGCCAGGCTTCAAAACATTCAGCAATGAATCGACGAACCCGTAGTAGATGCCGTCTACAGGTTTCGGAACGATGGGTTTAGAAGTTAACGTGGCTTGTTTCTTGGATTCTTGAGCTTCAGATTCTTTCATTTTCATCGGTGACAAAGTAAAGCCTGCTTCTGATTCACATTCGACGGAAGAGGGTTCTATTGACTCCACTACGGATTCAGATTTAGGACCTTCAAAGCCGGTCATGTCATCTACTTGAAACGAGTCAGATGAAGAGGTTTTATATATACGGTGGCGACACTGAAATGAACGTTTTATTTGTTAAAGATCAAAAAAAGTTTAATTTTAAAAACTGCTTTTGTAAGTCTTAAAAATAGCCCGCAGTAGTAATATAAAAAGACTTACACCATCGCTTGTTTCAAGACTAGCTTCTCCTTCAGCTGTGCCAAGAGTTATTCTGGAAGAGAAACCATTTCTACAAGAGTCAGCATTTACGATTAACAACAGAAAATAGTAAACTTGGCTAAAACTAACGAAAACAAATCATTCTTGTTAGTTAGCCTATTTTCAAGCTTTAAGTGTTTGGAAATAAATGATTTTTTTCAAAATGGAAACTTACAAGGTAGTGTTCTCGTCGATCCAGTCTTTCAACGTTGTAGAGTCACTATGGACAGTCATGTAAGAAAGGCAATTCACCGACCAAACTTTATGGAACAATACGAAATGAGGCAAATCCCAACTTTGAAGGTCCTCATTTGAATAAATCGTTTTCCAAATATTGTTTTTAAATTTGCATTTTTCGAAAATTTTAAAACTACAAACCGAAGTGACAATCTCTTATACAAAATAAATTTCCAAACTATATACACATACATTTATTACAACATATATTAAATAAACCTTTGTACATAATCTTCAACTAGAAGATCTTCACATAGACAATAATATAGCAAAATCACCCGCAGATATACACATCTTGAAAACGTATTTAAAAGCTACTGTACAATCAATGCTTCAAGAAAAAGCACTTTAATCGTTTTGACCTCCAGTAATACCCGTCGTTTTTGAGTCGTCTTCAGAAGCCTTTTCTTCTGATTCTGTCACTTCGCCATCTTTATTCACATCTTCTCCATCTTCTTGTTCACTTTTACTGTCAACAACTTTTTCCTTTACAGCAACTTCAGAATCTTCATTCTCCTTGTCGCTGAATCCTTTAGCATCATCAGAATCTTCAAATGGTGCTTCATTCCCTTCCTCATCCAACTGTACCACTTCTAATTCTCCATTTACATTCTGTTTCAAGGATACTGTAGGAGGGATGGTAAAGTCCTTGTCAAGGTTATCTACTCGTTGTTTTATGGCGTCTAACCTGCCGAACGTAGAATCTACCATTTCTTGGGCTTTCTCCTCCAAGTTCTTCTGACTTTCTGACAAGACTGCCAGTTTCTTCAACGAATTCTCCACTGATTTTGTAGCCTACAATAAGAAAATCAATAAAAGTTAGCAAACGTAACAACATTATGAAGTTTCTGATTTAAAAAAGACATATAACCTACAGAAACATGAGATCTTCTGGCAACTGGAGCTTTCTTGGCTCCAGATGTGTAGGCTTCAAAGTCTTCTTTTGAAATATTCAACTTCTCAGCATTCATTTCTTGAATAAACTGAATGGCACAAGAGAGGTGAGTAAAGTAGTAGCCTATAAATAAAGCTTATTGATGTTGCCAGAAATATCTAAAATATACACTGTAAGTTTCAAAGTTCTCATATGAACCTTGCAAAGCTTTGTACTAACTATAACCTTACCAGACTCTCCTCTTGCGATCCTCGACTGACATGCAAAGCGGCTTATAAAATGCAAATTCGACTGTATTAGAGGTGGGTTCGACTTTAGTACAACATAAATCAAGGAAGGCAAGAAGTCATCAGCACCAGCTGGAGCATCAGTGCTGGCTTTCAAAGCATCGAATATCTTATTCGAACATCGTACTAGACATGCCAGTTTGTCACCGATCGCTTTGTGAGAATTCATGTAGACGATTTCATTGACAGCATCATCAAGATGTTCTTCTACTGCCGGGCAGTCAAAGTCCAATGCTGTTTCGAAGAAACCTTGGGTTACCCAATGCAAAGAACGGATTCTGTCTTGTAAGGAGAGATCAGCAACTTCTTCATCAGTTCTGAAATATAACCGTAGTAAAATTGACAAAATTTAAAAAATTAGTTATTAAATAATTAGCAAAAAAGTTCAGAAACCATTGCTCTTACTTCGTACAGAACAAAAATTTGTGTCCTTTGACAGAAATGTAGCTCTCTACTTGCTCCAGAAATGCAGTAGAAGTAAATTCAGGGTTCGTGGATCTGTATCTGTTAGCCTTTTCAACAATCTGTTTGTAAAAGTTCTCCACAAGCAAAGACAACTCTTCCATTCCATCGTTCTCGTGCTAAAAGCAAAAAAATATTTTAACAACATTCTGATTCCAAAACATGAAAATATGTTATGCTTAAACCAAAATAGAAAATTGTTCATCAAAGTGTAAAAAACAACATTCAGCACAAATTAAGATTGTCATAACAACTCGCCTCCTTCAGCGTTTCCACGATTTCCTTGCAATTCTTCTCGAGATCACTGGCATAAATGGGTTGAAAGTTCTTCATTAAATACATCCTCAAGGTTTTCTCGGCGTCCAGAGATTCCGGAGACAAACTGTAACGATTAGTGTCAGTGAAACGAAAGAACGATCCTACATCAGAACTCAGCAAAGAGAACAAGTTTTCGATTCCGTTCATTTCGACCAGCCAATTTCAATCATTTTAAAAAATATACTTCAAAATATTCATTTTCAAATTATACAATCGAAATTGAAATTTATAAATTAAAAAATCTTTTAAATTAATTAAGTTTAAACCTATACCTCAACTAAAAATAGTAAAACTAACCTTCTGGCTTGTCGCTCGTGAGTTGGAGATCCATTGACTAAAATGTCATCATTATCAGTAAGTTTATCAGGTACTATGATCAAGTCTAGTTCTTCGAGTTTTGCCGGTTTTAAAGGTAAATCGTCCTCGAACTTCCACCGAAACCATTTCATTTTTCTAATATAGCATATTAACATACACAACTGAATATTACCGCGCATTCCGCCAATAAAAAACACAATTTTACACTTACGCACGTCAAAAAAATATTAACTAACATAATTAACAAATTGAGACGTTAAGCCTCGTCTGCACAGCTCTATTTAAAGTGTCTGCAAAGCTAGACCCCTGATAATTAATTCGTTAAATGCCATTAAAGCAGACTCATACCTACAAATAATAACTCAAACTATTAGTTCATAAAGTAAACCTTAAATAGTCGTCTCAAAAGCATATAAGATATTAACCTTACTTTAAAATTTAACGCTGTCTGACTTAACCTTATATCGACAGTATTAACCTCAGACACAAAAACTCTAACACACACGAGCCAAAAATGTCGTTATCAGTCCTTTTTTGCATACAGAACACCTTCCCTTACAATCTTATATTAGACAAAACCGTTCTTTCTTCTCGTGACCCCAAAGAAAAACATATCACAAGTTTTTCTACCTTCCTGTACTTCCAGAGCTGAAACACGTGAAAGAAGGGTAATTTTAATTAAACAAGATAACGAAACAATAATCTAAAGACACTCTGAACCATTTCTCTGTAAACTTTACAGATAGACAGTATGCCTATTTTTATGATTAGACATTAGACCTACAAAGTTTTAAACAATTTTTTATATTTTTGATTCCCAAAAACCATAACAAAGAGTCTAGACTACAGCTGGGTGAGAGTGGATCATCTTGTAACCAAATAGCTTTAAAGCCAGCCACTGAGGACATTGTAACATCCGCAGACGAGAATAAAGGTCAGCTATAAGACATCTAAGCAAATTTCGTCATTCTTGTGCGCCAATCTGCTTATGCAAATGCTAAAACATGATGCAATTGCGCGAGAAATTAAGTCTAACTTGTGTGAACATAACGAAAACTATCCAAAGTAATAAAAACTACCTAAAACCGTAACTTTAAAAATACATTTTAGGTATCGTTTCAAAATTACTGATAAACAAAAACTGTACAATTATACTTAAAAGCACGATATTTACCCATTTTAAATGCAAATTACAACTACAAAAAACATTTTCAACTATAAGATTCAAAAATCAAAACAAGTCTCATAACAAAAATTAAAAACTTCCAACCTTTAGCCAAAACTTATAGTAACCCTACCCTTCCTCACACCATGAACGTGATCTTATACTAATCAAAAGTCACAAATGAATCACAAAAATTTCATTTTTTAGTTTCGTAACCCATCTGAACAGTAAATCTATGCAAATCAACTAAGTGTACTCTCGATATACTTCCGTACCACGCAAAGTCACCACGTGTGGCTGACTCAATTATGCAGTCGTAGTTAGTGCTTACAATATATAGAATTGTAAATCCCTTAATCCTCGCGTGAAAGTAATTTCATGGCTTTTCTTCAAAGTACAATCGAAGTTCCGTGAAAAATTACAAAAATAAACGAAAATGAAACCAGAGCAAGTGAAAAACTGCAGATTCTGCAAAATCGTCTGGAAAAACAGCTTCATTATCTGCTAACACAAAAAATTATTCGAAAAAACCGCTTTACACACACTGTAGTACATCTCAATAATAATATTATAAATAATCTTCTTGCTAAAAACGCGTTCAGACCCATTCAATACCTTTACTAAATCCAAAGCCCACAAAATTATTCAAAGAAACAAACTTCCACAGCCTTAAATACAAGAATCATTAACAACATGCCTCTCATAAACAACTACTTACACAATAAGTTTACTCAGCAGTCAATTTCAGAAATAAGCATCTATTTCTGGTCAGTGTTCAAAGCTCGCACAATATCAACAACAACTGGTAAGGATAAAACCGGCAACAACGCGTCTTATAAACAAGTTGATAATCGATCAAAAGTTGTTATAGTTATCACGGAATGACATTTGATAACAAATACTGTTTAAAAACCGTTTTTTTGCAAAGTCATAGTAAAAACTCAAAACAGATTTAAAATTTAAAACTTAAGTTAAAACTGTAACTTCTTTCTACACCAAATCTCCAAACTTTGATATCAACTTGTTTAACAAAGGCGTGACTCATTCGAAAGACGTGTCAAAAGTCATGTTAACATTACCGCTTGTCGTGGAGAACATCGACGGAGACTTTTTCATCAATCCTCGCAGCGTATTCTTCGGATCGACAGATAAACGGCGATCATTTTGACTGAGCAGCGATCTGCAACACCATAAAATCAGTCGACAAACAAAAAGTGAGCAAACTTTAAACAAACATATTATACGTTTGGCAAAATAGAGGCATTCTCTTCGTTTTTACACTAAATTTTTAAATATTGAACAATATTCAATAAATAACAAAAAATGTATTTTAAAATGTAGCCAATCATAATTAAAGTACAGTAAATTTTCAATAGTTTCGGTACCTAAAAAATTAAATAAACCATTACATACCGATTGAGATTGAAGTGCAGAGTTCGTGTCTTTTCAGTTTGATGTGCTCGATAACATTTAGAACAAAAACCATCCCATTGAGGCGTGCCATAGTAACCGCATTGATTTTTGCACAACTATAATATTATGACTATAATATAAAGTTACTGTTAATTGTGTTATCAGTATAACAAACATAAGAAACTCTTTATACAACGGTCTTTACCGAAACTTTTACAAATATGACTATATGTTTCATTTCTACCTAAAATAACAAGAAATAATTAAAGTAACATACCATTTGCTGTTCTGTGATCGACACCCGACATCCTCGATCCTCAATCACCGGCGTACTCATATTGTTTTAGGCTGTTATTAATATAAAAAGTGCAAAAAATCTAAAAATAAAACAGTCAAGAGCTATAAAACGGCAATAAATAACATTAACTCCACGCTTTAATCAATAAAAATTTAATTTCCACAATCAAAAAATGCCGAAATTGCCAAAACAAAAGAAAAAAGAGTTGTGGCCGGATGTAAACTGATATTTCCGCTTCCCAAGTGTAATATAATTTGTCAAAACAAAGCATTTATTGTAAACGAGTTTCGAAAAGCTGAAACTGCAAAAATCCGACGGAAAACAAAATTTTGGACTCTCGAGCAAAATCTATTTCCTCTTGCGACGGAATGCCAAATAGCAGCCAAAAAGGTGCAAAATGTCAAGATTTAAATTAAATTAATATTTTTTATTAAAAAAGTCTACTTTACAAAATACGTTAATGAGTGATAAGGGTAGACAAACTAACCTTTAAAGTAATATAATATTTGCACTGAAAATACCATAGTACTTCTTATCAGCTTGAGAGTGCGACCACGAGACAATAAGACTTGTGACATCTTTCTATTTGCAGACCATACGACAAACACGTGAAACAATAAAGGTTTAAAAAGTATTTGTAGTGACAAATGCAACCATATCTGGAAGTAAAAATAATTTTACCTCTGCAACTAGCCATGAATACTATTGTTAAAAATCTGATTACTTCAAAATGTTTATCTCGACCAATTCCAGTAAAACCCAATTGTAAAAAACTTATATATTGGCTAATATACTTCCTCTTTAAAGCCATATAAAACAAATAAAGTAAAGAATTTTGTTTATTTAAATTTTTAAAAGTTCATCTTCTCAGTCCGTCTTAAGTAGTATTCGATTACTTGGAAAACAGAACTAACAAGTAGCAAATACTTGCAAGCTGGTGCTTACCTAATTCTAATAAATTATTGAATGTCTGAATAACATTCGAACATAAAAACAATTGTTTTAAACCAAAGATTATGATGTCTAAGATAAGGTGGCATGTAGAACAATAAACAAACAGTAAATAGTTAGACAATTACATTTTGAACAAAAGACTTATGAAAACGTGAAAAATTGTAATTTTATAACATTTACAAAAAAGTTAAAACTATAATAAAAAGTATAAAAGGTCGTGTTTACAAGATAACTACTACAACATAAAGACTAGAAGTAGACTTAATTTTTTAGATATAAAAAACTAGTGTATCATAGAAATATTCTTGATAAAGCCACACGGGGCTCCAAGTGCACTATAAAAAACAAATAAGGTGTGTTTTTAAAATTGCAAAGCTGTGAAGGCAATAACAATACTTACAAAGCTCAAAAAGTAACTATAAAATAAAATGTCATGTCCGTGTGATCCTTCCTGGCGTCACATAGAATAAAAGAGTTTTAAAATACTTTTTATGCAAAGCAGTTATCTCTCTCAACTGTTTTAGAAGAGTGCTTCGAATGAGTTGAGGTTTTTAACAAACAAAATAATGTTTTTAATAATAAATCGTGTTTTATATCATAGTTTTGAAACTAAAATAATCTCTAAATCTTTAAATGTTTAAAACAAAATTGAACAACAACTCTTATTAACCCATATACATTATTCTCGTATTACTTTTATACCTCAAAACAGTAGTACAAAAGAGTAAAAACAAGCTCTTACTTTATGCTCATAAGACTCGTTTAAGTATCTGCCATATTGTCCAAAATAGAATTCTAAATAAGGTTGTCACAAAGGATCAACACAACAGTACTCTGTTTGTACTTTAAGAGCAGAATGTCAATTACATGTAATACTATAATAAATATCATTTAATATTACTGATGGTGCGCTTTTGAAGACTTAATTACAATATGGCATGCTACTGTGGAGAAAGTGTCAAACATCACACAATTTGACACTTTTTTTGCAATGATCCAATATTTTTAAAATGAAAGTTGATTTAAGATCGTAGTCACAGTACAGTAAACAACAACATATTTAGATATCTCATTTTACTAAAACAGCATTTTTAAGTAAGCCAATGCGCAACGCTATGTAGACATGGGATCGGGCCGGGCCTGAATTTTATGCGCGGCCCGTTTTTCATTTTTCTCAATGCGGCCCGGCTTGTTTTCTGTACCTAACGCTATGTAGAGCATCTTTTGAGCAAACCAGCCTTAAAAGAAGGCTTTAACAATTTGGTGATGTCAAGCTTTATTCAGCTAGTCCGACTCGACAGAAACTTTTTGTTTTGATCTGATTTAGCATTATAAAGTTAAATTACACAAAGTATAACTTGGGTCATTAGACTGTCTGGCTTTTTTGTCGCTTTTCACGCAATTTTGTGCAAAAAAAAACGCAAAAAGTGACTTTTAAAGATTGTTTAAGGCATTGCTCGATCAGACAGGCCAAAGAACAGATAACTTCAGCCAAACTGAAACTATGTTCATAACACGAAATTGCTCAAATTTTTAAATAGGTAAATCAATCTTGTGTTCTTTACACATAAATTTCATTAATTTCACAGCATTTACAAGAGCTCAAAGACTACTTTTGGCTGATCGGATCGTAATGAAACGCTTATGACACTTACTATACAAACAACAATATTATACATGACATTTATACATGACGTGGTTTGCAAATTAAATATCATTTTTTACATTCACTACGATTAATTTAACTTTAAATCTGTATTTTTATGTATTTGTAACTTTATTGCTTGTATATTAACTTCTCTGTAAACGTATATTAATACACGTATGTTTGTCATTCTAAAAACGTACGACTTAATTATACATTCTTCTTGACATCCTCGAATCCTGACTTAATTGCTATTTTTAAACACGCTTTACATATGAATCCAAATGGACATACATAATGACTTTTATCGTTAGAAACTATTCTATGTATTGTTTTAAGTACATACATAGTTTGTTTACAGTGAAACACATATTTTGAGATCTTACTGTAACTCTTGTTTTTTCAGTTTTAAGTTTCACAAACTGTTTTTCAGGTGACTGATGACTTTGGTATACAAATTGGGAACAATATTTGTCATTTTATATTGTATTATGTATTTTAAGCCTATGTAACTGTTGACTACAATAAGGAGATCACATAGTACGAGTATATAAAGAAAAACTAAAAGTATAAATAAAAAGACAATAAGAAGACTTATTACGACTTCTGCAAGGAAAACTGTTGTTTTTGCTTATTTAATTAAACGAAGCTCTGTAGCCATTTTACATTAATATATTTAGAGAACCCATTAACAGTCTACAACCTACTTGTGGGATCATTAAGCTCTCTGGGGAAGATTACTATTTGAATGAAGTTGGAATGAGTAATGTGTTAGCAGGCGTTTTAATTCGTTTCGTTTTTAATTTTAAACGCTTTCGGCCTTTCGACGAGTTGGCAGTAGTTCCTGGTATGTTCGGGAGGTCTTTCAGTTTTTTTTACATTAACGTAACAAATATTGCAATAGAAGTACGTATTTGTTACTTATGTTAATGGTGTTAAAAGTGGTAATGAAAAACGATGTGTTGTTCCAAATGCTATGATCTTGGAATCTCTGACTTGAAGAGCAACATGTTATGTTGCAGACTGTTATTTATCACCTAGAACTTATTCGTTTTCTCATGTTCGGCTCAGGGTTATGCGAATTCGAAATGGCAGCCCTACGTTTTTTAATGTTCTCTCCTTTTTTTCTCATTTGGCCAATTTTTGAGTGCAAAAAATCGGGGGGGGGTGAGAGAAACAGTGGTAGAAATGGCCACAGCCCCGCCGGCCACACCCCCTCAATGAAACCCTTTGAAACAACAAAATATAGACGTTTTTTGCCTCGGACAGCCTGTTTTTTGGCAAAAGTAAAAGTAACCGACAGTCATGAAACTTTTTACTTGACAAATGACATTTTGAGTTCAGCGGGCCTGAAACCGACCGGACAGGGTGGAGGATCAAAGATGATTAGAAGTTTATTAGAACTAACAGTTAAAACATTACTTTGAATTATTATAACTTTCTATATTGTTTTATTTTGACTTGACCATTCTTTTATTGACCACTTTTTCTTATTTTTGATTTTTTTACTTTACACTATAAAGCAGACCAGACAAATATTATCACTTTTTGTTTGTTCCAAAATATGTACACATTGATATGCCTAGAGCTGAATATATTAAGTTTTTTCATAATTATAAATTTAAACAGCGTTATTACTATTAGTTTGAGAGACACACGTGGAGAATGTTATAAAACAAAGTAATTACATTCTCTCTAGACATTATATTATATTTTGTTTTTTTACATTCTTTGCACGAAAACGTGCTCTGTTATTGTTGTGCTTGAGTGCTATACTTAGTATTAGAAACGTTTGTATTAGTAACGTGTAATGTTGTTTTAGCCACTTTAATTTGGCCGTTTTCTTTTATTATTACGTTTCTGGGGCGGAAATTCTAGAGTTACACGATAATGAGCCATAATTGTGCTTAATGTTGCAAACCTCGATTGTACACCCACAGCCTCGATTGTACACCCACAGCTGATCATTTACTTTACTTTTACTATTTTTAATTAAAAATCTTTTTGCTTTTGCTTAGATATAGATATTCCATTAAAGCTTTTACGAATTTCTTGGAGTTGTCTGCAAATTTTTGTAAGAACGGTGAGAACAGTGAACTCAAAGAGTTCTTTACCGTGCATTAGTCGATTTTCCTCATTAATTCAAGGTGTTAACCGTGAGTTTTTTAATTAGTTCTTGGTAGAAACGTCTTCGAAGTCGGTTTCCAAATGGCTGAAACTACTTTTCTGTTTGATCAAAAAATGAACTTGGTTTTTATTCGTAAATTTCTTAATTTTCTCTGAATATGTTGTTATGAGTTTTGTAATGATAACTTCATATATTGTGGTAGGGCTGCAAATCTGATATTAAACAAATATGATGCGGATACCTTCACATTGTTATTGTCTTTGTTCTTATTGTAGGAGTGTCTTTAAACTGAAGTTTTAGAAGATATTTTAGTTTTACAACTCTAGCCTCTTCAAACGTATTATTGTTATTTTACATTAGCAGTATCAAACCTGTGCCACCTATACTTCTGCAACTCTATTCGTACAATTATTTATTGTAACAGTTAAAAACATGTTTTTGTTTTACTGCAGTAGTGGCCACAACTCTGAATAATATTCTTTGTCCAGTGCAATTCCTCAGAGTCCTGTTTCCGCTTTATCAAAGTCTTGGCACAATCAACAATATCCACAATAGCAATTGTGCCTTAGTTTTGTTTTTTGTAATGCATTAACTATATTTTCAATATTAATTTTTTTTGGTATTACTTTTAGCACATCCAGTACTTTTTGCCATTTCAATATTACTGTTTTGTATTTTAGTATTGTTTTGGGGAAGATTAATGAGTTTATCAGGATTAAACCCTTAGGGGATCGGAAGAATCTCTGTTTTTTGATGTTTTGTTTAACGACGTGCTAAGCTGACATTCGAAGGTGTAACGTCATGGTAAACAACTTGATATTATACTAGACTAATCTCCTGAACACTCCCAGACATTAGAGTTGCCAGTTATTTTTTAAATATTCTGTGGAACGTTAGGAGCTCTTCGGCCGGTTTAATAATTAACTGAAAGTTACTTTTCAAAATATGTTTACATTTTAAATTCAAATGTGCCAAACCGTTTTAATTTGCCATTAATAAAAGCACTTTTGTTATTCATAGCAGCTTTGGTAGTAAACTTGTTTTTCGATATTATTCTTTCAACACAACATGTTGCCATTTCTGGAAGTGTAGCGTTGGGCCCGTACCCATAATTGATCCACGCGAGTTCTGTGATGCATAAATGAGCTGCCACAACTTTTGATCTTTCTGTTTTTGAAAACAGAATGTATGATCAGGGTTTCTTTTCACTTTGGGGATATGATTACACTCCCTCGTATCATCACCCACATCCACGTTCACAGACGCGACCTCTGTTCGATCGAATTTCATTGTATTTTAGGGCGGAAAACAGCTCCGCGACGTACTATGTCATGTTAGGGTAGAGGGTTTACATATATGGGAAAATAGGTGTCGTCATATAGTAGAAGTCTTACTTTGCTGTTATTGTAAAGCTTTATGTGTGTTGTAATTGAAATGTTAGGATTAGAATTCATAAAGACTGACAAAGAACATACTTAACTTTAGTCAGAGTTTTATATTATAATTGTGAACACAGCATAAATTGATATGCTGTCAATTTGATAAGGTAAACATTATATAATTTCCTAATTGATATGTTTGTATTTTTACTAAAGCCCAATTGCTAATTAAACTTTACCATGTTACTTTATGTATTTATAGCTAACATCACTCTGTTTTCTAAAAATATGCAAATTGGTATTTAAACTTGCGTGCAATTAAGTACGAAAAATAACTTGCTGTCGTCGTATTTGTTATTTTCGAAAACTAATTAGCTATTTGTAAATATGCATATTAATCTAGATTGCTTGTTACACCTGGCTGAACCGACCAGTAATTGAAAATCCGCCTTTTACGAAAAACTTAAATACTGCATTAGGTTAATTACGTTTATAAAAAGCATAATACTACGGGTTTTGGGTATGATACTACATGTTAGTTATTTTTTACTACGTGTCGTTGTGCATAATACTACGCGGATTAATTGTGCATTCTACTAAAAGTTTACTAAAAAAATTATTTTCAGTACGTGGTACTCAACATGGCGGATGCGATCGAAAAAGAAAAAGTATTAAAACATGGAAATGACAAAACTAATGGTAACGGGGTACACAACACTGAAAACGGCGTATACAACAGTCCCACGTCACCCGGATCAGAAGAGGAAGAAGATCGTGGAACATGGTCAGGTCCTTTCGACTTCTTAATGAGCATGATTGCTTATGCAGTAGGATTAGGTAAGTGAAGTATATTGATATATAAAATATCATTAAGTTAACCTATAAGTTATCCTACAAACCTATTATAATATAATTATCAAACCCTATATTTATATCCCATTTTCAGGTAACGTCTGGCGGTTTCCGTACCTCTGTTTCCGTAACGGTGGAGGTACCTTCTTGTTTGCTTACAGTTTCTTCTTCCTTCTGGCTGCCGTCCCCATCTTCAACATGGAAGTCACGGTAGGTCAATATCTCCAACGTGGAGCTATGGAAATCTGGTCGATGTGTCCCCTGTTCAAAGGAGTAGGCATTGGCAACGTTGTTATCGCATTCATGTGTATCTCGTACTTCTGTGTGATCGTGGCGTGGGCCATATACTACATGATCGCTTCGTTCAACACCACCTTCCCTTGGGAAACGTGCAATAACTACTGGAACGACAACAAATGCATCACGGGGAAGGAACCTCATCTGAAGTTACATCAGATCAAGGCCAATCTGACGGCTTACGGTCAACAGACAGAGACTTCTGTAGAACAATATTGGGAGAAGAGGGTGTTGATGATGACAGACAACATCTCTGAGTTTGGTGGTATCCAATGGGAGTTGTTCTTCATCATGGCCTTTGCCTGGGTGATCGTTTACTTTGCGTTGTGGAAAGGTATTACCAATGCGAGGAAGTTTGTCTACTTCTGTGCTTGTTTCCCTTACTTCTTGGTTATCGTGCTTCTGATTAGAGGACTAACACTCCCTGGAGCTTACACTGGAATCTCCTTTTACCTTACTCCTAACTTCACAAAGTTGGCTGAACCCGCTGTCTGGAAGGATGCTGGTACTCAAGTGTTCTACTCTTATGGTGTTGGGTTTGGTACTCTTATTGCTCTTGGATCTCACAACAAATTCACTCATAACTGTTATCGGTGAGAACTTTAAAAACTTGAAAGCTATAGTGAATAAGCTTGCTGTAAAGTTTTAAAAAGCCCATTAGCAACGCAATTCAGAATATTTAAATTATTATTTTCAGTGATGCTATTATCATGTGTTTCGTCAATGGAGGCACGAGTATTCTGGCAGGTACAGCCGTCTTCTCTATCCTCGGCTACATGTCTTTCATCGCTGAAAAAGACATTGCCGAGATCGTTAAGCCTGGTGTAGGCTTAGCGTTCCTGGCATACCCAGAAGTTGCCAGCAACTTACCCATGAAACAAGTCTGGGCTTTCTTGTTCTTCTTGATGATAACGATTCTTGGATTGGACAGTCAGGTACTTGACAGATTTTGCTATTTTTGTTATGCCCCAACGTTTATTTTACATAAACAATGCTATGCAGGGCTTTGTAACTTATAATAACTATATGACACTTACAGGTATGTATGATGGAAGGTTTGTTCACCGCTCTAGAGGACACCTTCCCCACATTACTCCGTAAGCACAAGAAGAAGTCTCTGGCCTTCACTTGCCTTTTCTTCTTCATCCTCGGCATTCCAATGGTATCGTATGCTGGATCACATTGGTTGACTTTGGTCGATAACTACGGTGCCTCTGGCTACGCTTTGCTGTTTGTCGTATTCTTCGAAGTTGTTGGTCTTTCATGGGGTATTGGAGTTGAAAGAATTCGAAACGGATTGAAGGAAATGGTCGGCATCTACCCAAACCCAGCCTTCCCTCTGCTCTGGAAGTACATATCTCCATCTGTCACTCTGGTAAGTTTGAAGAACACGGTTTTATAACTACCTTAACTTATATAACAGATATTAAAACATAAACATTTGAAAGATTATCAAATATACTCAATGTTACAACCTATTCTCTTTCAGTGCATGTTCATCCTATGCACAGTAATGTACACTCCTTTGTACTACACTGACGGACGTCCATTCCCAATCTGGGCCCAGCTGTTCGGCATTTGCTTATCATTGTGCTCAATGATATCTATCCCCGCCTATGCCATCTACTATATGGTGACCAAACCGAAGGGGCAGTCTTGTAAAGAAAGATTCTTCCAAGGAGTTTACCCACCCAAAGAATTGGACGAACAATTAGAGCGGAGGAGACAGAAGGCCATGGCCAAGAAAGCGGAAGAAGAACAACGATTACTCCTCAAGTAATCACCAAGTTACTCCCCATTATCTTCCTCCATGGTTTATATCTGATGTTTGTTTAACTTTTTTTTGCATCTTCGGTTTATTGTTTTCGTATTTCAGATTACGCTTTCCCTAAGACTTTTATAGGTATTCCCAATTTTTTATATTAAAAAATAACTGTCGCATTGCCTTTAAAAAACCTATATTATCCACCAAGAAAGACCTCATGAATTGCAAGTTTTAGCATGATCTTATATTAAGATCCCCTGTAGGATGGTCTTTTCCTCATTCCCTTGATACCCAAGCTTATCTCTTCTCAATCTACATATATTTGGTGTCTAAAGACGAACTCTTTCGTAACTTACTTGTAAACAGTATTTTACATTACTTGTATTGCATTACATTGTTGTAAACAGTATTTCATATTAATCCGGTTTTTCTTTGTTACTCTCGGTTTTCTCCGTCAGACGGTTATAAATTAATAAATCAGTAAAATACCAACTTACATTAGGAGTTATATCAGAGAATCCATAAAAGACAAAACTAAAAGATTCAAACGAATTAAAAACAAATGATTAAGATCCAATTATATTACACTATACAAATTTAAGCAGAACGTTTATCTTGTCCGGAACATTCGATGTCTAATGCGGCTTATACACTGCACGGCTTTTAGTTTTCAGCTCTGGAGAGTTTTAGTTTGGGACATTTCGAGTGTCATAAGTTTAACCCAATGTAATAGTAAAGTTTTGACACAAAATCAGTAATTTATGTTATAAGTTTGTAAAAAAAGAAAGTCAAAACAAGTTGAGCAAAAATAAAAAACAAAGTTTTAATTTTGTACAAAAATTGGTTTGGAGAACGAAGTATCACTAATTATTTTTTTTGTGAGCGAATCGCCAAAAATTAAGATTTATTTTTATAGAAATATTTTGTTATTTTACTTTCCCGATTTATTAAAAATTGAATAAACTTGAAATATATATTATTTATAATACATAGATTTCAGATTTAATTTTAAATATTTTAATTTTAAACATTTAGCTAGCAGTAGCTGAAAATGCGCGATATTATACTAGTTTTAATTAAACTCGATGCGTCGAAGGTCGAAATCATTTTTCTCGTGTGCTTGTATTTTCCTTGATTCATCGCTTTGTTTGATGGGCTTGTTGAACGATGTTTCGGACTTTTTACTTGGCCGGGGGACTTGAAAACTACTTGACATTTCGCGGTTTCTGGTACTTTCAGTATCTTACTTTGCTTGTCCATTTTTAAGTTCGAGATTTACGAGTTCCAGGTTTTTGAATATTAATATTCGTTAATTTTGGCATTTTTAGATAACGACATATTCAATGTTATAAACAGGACTTTCTTCGAATGTTAGTGTAGTTGTATTTAAAATGCTCTGTCGTATCTCGTGGTGCGATTGCCAAGGATGTTTGGCTAGGTTTGAAAACTGGTTTTTTAACTACATGGCCAACAGCAGTTTTCTACGATATATGGATTACTTTTTAAAGCATATTTTGGGAAAGGTATGTTGTTTTACATATTTTTTTTATTTTTAGGTATTAACTTACTGTAAAGTTTTTTTAAAAGGTTACTGCTGTTTTATGTGTGGTTCTTTTTTGGAGTCTCGAATGTAAATAGGGGTGGAAGAAACTGTTAAGTCGTTGTCAGTACTCATTATGTTGTTTTAGGTACTAGTAGTTCTTGTTTATGGCATTATGTCGTTCATAGCATTTGAGATATTGTTCATCGCCTTGCCATACGAATCTCTACACAAACCGAAATGGTTTATCTGCATTTTATGCTTTGTTGCTGCATATTTTATTTTTTCAATTTTATATTATTACTATAAGGCCAGTAAGACTCCTCCTGGGTCACCTAAAAAGGTAAGTAATCTCGTTTTAGTGTTATATTAAGATTCTACTATGCATGTTTGCGAACGAACATGATGTTCGAAACCACTTTAATTTGATTGTTGTTTTAGAAGACAGGTACGCCGTTTTGTTATCGTTGTCAGAACTTTAAGCCTTTTAACGCTCATCATTGTCACATTTGTGACATATGTGTTCTGAACATGGATCATCATTGTGTGTGGATAAATCAATGTGTGGGAGCTCAGAATCATCGATTCTTTCTACAATTCATCGGGTTTCTGACAGTCGGGTGTTTTTTGTTTGTTGTAGTCACATATCCTACCTTTTATCACAATTATTGGAATGTAAGTTACCATTGCTTCGAAGGACAAGTATTCAAAATTAGGCATTTACATTTTTTAAAAAGGTTAACTTTTATACAAAAGTTAAAATTATGTAAATATTAAAGACTTATGTTTTAGGCGAAGTATGACACATTTTGTAACAGGTTGGACTTGGATTATTTGTCTTGGAAAGAAAGTTTCTGCCGGAACGGTCAAGAATTTGTGATGACATCTGTTTTCTTTGCCTACTGTTTGGCGGGCGTGGTATTCTTCTTAGTGGGAGGGTTGTTTTGGTGGAATTTTTCATTAATATCCTCTGGACAAACTTACATCGAGTTCTTGGTATGTTTTTTAATATTTTTGGGCATTTTGATGTTCTTAGTCAATTTTATGTTAGTAAATTAGTACTAATGCCACTTGCAGAAGAACGGTGAACAGCGTGGTTGTATGCCGATGGTGTTATGGCCTTTTGGAGCACCTCATTTTAGAAGGAATTGGGAAAACTTCCTCGGCCTTCGGAATGGAAAGTCTTTTATCCGGCATATTCTGTTGCCTTCGAATCATTTGACATACACAGATGAGGAAGATCTGGCACGACTAACTATAGTTTAGACGAGAGTATTTTTTAATCATCACGGGTGATAGATACGAGATGTATAAAGCATGAATAAATTTATTTTGTCACATTTACATTTTGAATTTATTTTATTTAAAAATGTTTTTTAAAATCTTCAAATTTTGATTTATTTAAATTTCAAGAGCGCTAAATCAAAATATTTATGCATTTCATTGTTTTGTAAATAAATTTGTTGGCAGCGATATGAATTTTACTTTGAAATCAATTTCTCGTGGCCTAACATACCTTATCAGCTTGGCCTCTAAGTATGCATTGGCTCCAGTAAGTACTAGTTTCTATGTCTAATGGTGTCCTCTGTTTTAGTTTCTTCTTTTCATTTTCAACTTGTTGATTTTGATTTATGCCTATGTCATTTACTTTATCTACCTACCGTACGAAGCCTTTTTCAAGCCTCTATGGTTGATTGTCGTGTTGTCTGTTTTGGCTGTCTACATCAACTTAAATGTTGTTTTTCATTATTATATGGCTAGAAGAACACCAGCTGGATCTCCACCAATTGTAAGTTGACTATTGAAATGTTACAGTAGATCTATTTAAGATATTGCATATTTTTTGGTGTAATATTGTACTTTTTGTATTTACCAAAAGACCGTATTAGGAAAGTGTGAATAATGTCGTTAGTTACATATTATGTTATGTTTTATGGCTTTTAGAGTGACAGAACTCCGAGATGTGCGAAATGTCATAATCACAAGCCCGAGAATACCCATCATTGTCGAATTTGCGACAAGTGTGTTGTAGGTATGGACCATCATTGCGTCTGGCTGAACCAATGTGTCGGAGCTGGCAATCACCGTTACTTCATTCAGTTTTTGGCATTTTTGGCTTCTGGGACGGGTTTGTTCTTAGCATTTGGTTTTAGGACATTCCTCGACAATGGCATGACTGTAAGCTACTTTTAATACCTTAATATTAACATTTATAGCTACAAAGTATGAAAAGGTCTGTAATAATAAGATGTTTAGACATAAAAAGAATAAATTTTGATTTACAGAACGATGTAGCGTTTTGTGACGTGATCCTAGAAGACTGGGCAGAAGGCATCTGTGCCAATGGCCACATGTTTGTAAATAATTGTGTCTTCTTCACTTACATTGTTGGTGTGACTATCTTTGTTGTATCTGCTGGTATGTTCTGTGTCGGATTCGTTCTAATATCTCACGGATGCACTGTTATCAGTGCTGTTGTAAGTCAACTTATTTGAATTTTAAGGTATCATAACATTGTTGTAAAGGTTATTATGTTATGGTATGTTTTATATTATCAAATGATTGAGATAACTATCGTTTTACAAATCGTTTCAGCAGCGTTACTCTGTGAAAGAGAAAGTAACCTGGTTAATCTGGCCATGTAAAGCGAGAAACTTTAAGCAAAACTGGATCAATTTCTTGGGATCGCACGGTGGAAGAAGGTTCTGGACACACATCTTGTTACCATCAAGACATAACACTTATTACGCAGAAGAAGCGTTGCAAAGTGTTGTTAGTCAATGTTAATATAGTGGAAAATAAAGTTTTATTATTTGACTTGAAGTATATTATTTGTTGAAATTTTAATTTTAAAGTTAAAAAATTTAAAAAAATAAAATTTGAATAATTTTTTTTTGGAAATATAAACTTTGAAATAACATTTCTAATTCAAATTTTCGATTATTTTTAATTATTTTGATACGGATATTAGTCGAATTTGGTCAGAGAATTAAAGAATGACCGGAAAAGAGTTGGATTACTATTATGACATGCCACAACGTCACGACAACAAAAACGGATTTGCGAGGACTCTGAAGAGGTTCAACAGGTTTCTACCGGTAAGTTTAAGTTTAAGTTGTAATTTTTATTTTGTTGTGGTTTATCTATGTACTTTTTGGTGATTAATAATATATTCCAGCTCATTCCCACTTTTATGTACCTCGCGGTATGTCTGGAAATACTTTTCAACCTTCTGATTGTGACTCCATACGCTTTGATTTATCGACCATTGTGGCAGGTGTATGTCCATAGTTTTATCTTCTTCTACGCCTCCTTCAACTGTCTATATCATTATACTAAGTGTGTTTATACCAAGCCTATTCAGATTTACAATGTAGGTTTAAAATGAAACATATTTTTTTAAAATTATTTAATAATTTAAAATTTAAAAGTGTGGTCAGTAATATGTCATTGTATATGTTTACAGGACGCGCATACCCCATCTTGTGCCACATGTCAAAAGTATAAACCTCCGGACGCTCATCATTGTCAATTGTGTGATACCTGCATAGTGGGAATGGACCATCATTGTATATGGATTGGGCAATGTGTTGGAGCTCACAACCATCGTTACTTCTTCCAAGTTTTGGTATTCCAAGTCATAAACACTGCCAATACTGTCATATTTGGAATTCCTGCTGTATATTACGGTCTTTACATAGTAAGTCAATATATTGTGGCTAGTACTTGTATGCAATATGTATTGGTTTCGATACTGTGTAATGTTTAGTAGTTGTTCTCAACATTGTTGTTAATTTTTTATTAAATTACAGTATTTTTTAGCGAGATGACGTTGCATTTTGCTATAATTCGGCGTTCTTTGCTTTACCATGGTATTATGTGCTTTGTATGTTTGGTTCTATTCCTATATACATCTACACCTTCTTGATGTATGCTTTGGCACTACAATCATTTCTGTTAACATCTGCTTTGTTTTACTGGACTTTCGCCTTAATCTCGCATGGATTGACGTTTTTAAAATGGCTGGTTTGTTCTATATACGTTACATACGTTTAAAGTAACTATATATCTTCTGTTTTCACAACATAGTCGTTAATGTTAAAGTCAGGTTTTAAGTCAAGAAAAGTCTGTTAGACCAATAGTTGTTACACCTTTTGTCACAGAGAACGAAACCGAAGCCAGTCCGCCACTTTTTATTGTATTCTTGTTGGGCTCCGAACTTCAAAAGAAACTGGAAACGATTTCTTGGAATCAGAGGATTCAGAAGTTTTGTCACCAAGATTCTGTTACCTTCGAATCATACCACATTCTATGAAAATACCTTGTATTATGAACTGTCTATTCGAGAATAGCTGTTGTTGTAAATAAACTGTAATATCTCTACTAACTCCTTGTGTCTGCTGTTTCTGTTTTTACATTTTGAAATAATTGTTAATCAAAAAACCTTGAATTTTTTATTTAAATTTTCAATTTTGCATAAATTTGATGACAATTTTTTTTATTTTTGATAGGAGACCTTTTTTCATTTTGTATTGTTCTTTGTTTACTCGCGGTTTTAAAATGACAGATTTGGAATTCAGTAACTACGTATCGCTGACAGAAGAACAAGAGATAGCACGAGCTAAGGACAGGAACGTAAAGTTGTATATTGGGAGAGTAAGTTGCTTTGTTTGTTATTAATTTGCACTTTTTTTAACTAGATATATATTGTTTTAAATTGTTTAAAATAAGTTTTAAGTTGATTAAAATAAAGCAATCAGTAATTTTAATGTTTCATTTTTTAAAAATTTTAATTGATTTTTCAGGTTGCTGTTTTGTTTGTGCCATTTCTTTATGGACTTGCGTTTATTGCGATTATTTTCATTTTTCTACCGTGCGAGTTACAATTCAAACCATTATGGCTGGTCGTTACTTTGTGTTCCTTGGTCGTCTACTTCTACACCAATATTATCTTCTCGTTTTACATGGCGGTGGTTACTCATCCTGGAACTCCTAAAAAGGTATAATTCTTAAAGAGATTCAAAGATTTCTACATTGTAAAACTTTTGTCGCGTTTTTATAAAAAAAAGTTTGAAAATTTTCTTCATTTCTTTTTCGTCTCTTATCTCTCACGTAAGTGTCAAACCCAGTCAAAAGGAAAGAAAAGCGAACCTCTTTTATGGAAAATATAAGAGAGTGATAAGCTTTGCGCAGAGGCGATAACGTGACCAATGAGGCCTAGCCGAGGTGCGTTTATTGCTGGTTGAAAACTTCTACCAATTGCCCGCCACGTCGCCTGCCTCGAGCGGCGGCGTCGGCAATTTTTGGACGGCCTTCGGGGCCAAATATTCGTTTTTACAGCAAGTTCGGATTACCGATTGTGCTTTCAATCTCTTTTGAACATAATTTTATTACTACTGTAGTTTTGGTAGTATTATATGTTACTTTATTTTAGCAACGTGGTTCTCCGTTCTGTTACTTTTGTCAGAACTTTAAACCTTTGAATGCACATCACTGTTCCGTATGTGACCGATGTATCTACAAGATGGACCATCACTGTGTCTTTATTAATAACTGTGTTGGAGCTCTAAATCACCGTTACTTCCTACAGTTTCTCGGATTTACTACAGTAGCTTGCTCGTTATTTTGTATCTTCACGGTAGATGCCGTCTACTACAACGTCATTGACTTTCTACTTGGAAAAGTAAGTTTATTTCATCATACGACTACTAAAGTATATTTTATTATCATAATATTATTACTATGTTTATCTTTCTTGATGTATTGGTGACTATTATATTGACTTTCACTTTACATTTAAACTCGAGTAAACAAAAGTATTTCAGGGTAAATATTCTTACTGTAACATAGAAGGGATAGAAAAATGGGGGTTGAAAAATACTTTGTGTTACTTCCGAATGACCGTGCCAACTATTATTACGGTCATTTACTCCCTTGCCTTTCAACTTACTGGGTTCGTCGGATGTATGTTTTGGAGTAACTTCACTATGGTATCTTTCAACACATACAATATAGACTACATGGTATGTTTTTGGAATTGTTTTTCTTTCTAAAAGTTGACAGTAACATAAAGTATACGATTGGTTAAAAATGGAGGTTTATCTGGTTTCATTATTGTTTTGATAATGAAAAATATTTTTAAATGATTTTTTAATTGATAGTACACAAAGAAAACACAATAAAAACTATAAATAGGTAAATTTTCAGAAAAATGGTACCTTGAGCTTCACTCGAATGATGTTATGGCCATTTGGAGCCAAAGACTTTAGAAGAAATTGGAGGTCTTTCCTGGGGCTTTACTCTGGCAGACAGTTCTGGTCTCATATTTTGTTACCATCAACTCACAAAACGTATATCGAAGAACTACAGTACTCGTACGAAGTGTAGCCATTTATTGTAAATAAATTATTATTTGTATATGAATAATATAGTGCAAGAGGATATTGCACTATATTATTCATGTTGACCTCAAATTCACAACTTTCAATTTTTAAAATGACTTCAATCTTAAAATGTATATTGCTTTACCTAAAATATACTTTGTCGAGCTATACTGTGTGATCGCGTAACCACAGACACAGTAAAAGCACTACTATTGACAGCGACTTTCTGTTTCCTACAGAGTAAACGCTCAACCAAAGTACGCCGGTAAGGGGTCACTAGTAGGAGTGACAAACAAGCATTGAGAGTAGGATGCCATGACAAAGGAGTAGTTATACAAGCACCAGTGTACTTAAAGTTGAAGCCGAGTACTATTGATGCTAACAGAATTAACAGAGGGCAGGTGCCACAGACTAGAGCAGTTACTGTCTGAAATGTAACGTAAAATGTAATGTCATATACAAAGTTATTGGAATGTTTTATGCAAATTAAACAGCTGAATAGAGTTTACTTATACATAATTGTATATACTACTTTCATTACTCATACTTAATTTTTAATCAGTATATAAAGTTATCACAACAGACCAAAGTTCGTGTGATTAAGTACATAAAAACGAAAATAACGTACTTCAAGGAAGTTAGAAGATAATCTCACCTGTGCCACTAGATTCCTCGTGAATTGGCGCTGTAAGTTCTTGGTTTTGGCCGTTACCAATGCTGCTCCCGCATTCGCTTGTAAATAATTGAGTAGAACATAGTAGAACGCTAGTAAGTGAGCAGCGGTCATTATCACCACACATATTGGTACAAACGATATGGTGACTGGGTTGTACTGAAATACAATGTTAAAGTATGTTTCGAACGTATTTTATAAATTAGTTACTGATAAGTAATCAAAAATCACTACTATTAAAGCTAAAAACATTATACTGTTATCGTATAGTAAAAATAAATACAGTAATCAGCCATTACTGTATAAAGGATATTTGGCCCCGAAGGCCGTCCAAAAATTGCCGACGCCGCCGCTCGAGGCAGGCGACGTGGCGGGCAATTGGTAGAAGTTTTCAACCAGCAATAAACGCATCTCGGCTAGGCCTCATTGGTCACGTTATCGCCTCTGCGCAAAGCTGATCAGTCATCCTTATTGTCCACAAAAAAGGTTTGCTTTTCTTTTCTTTTGACTGGTTTGATACATACGTGAGAGCTAAGAGACGAAAAGAGGAAAAGAAAAAACATTTCGAAACCAAATGTGTGAAACTTTTTTCTTAAAGTAACATTCCTGGAGGGAATGTTTTAGTAAAATTAACTAAAAGCAAAAGTACGTTTCGGGCGATGGCCGAAACGACGCACGCGTAAATCACGTCAATCGTTGTATGACAACCGCTCACTTTAACTGATGGTTCGGTCACAAACCCTGACTCACCTCGAGGGAAACTATCGAGTAAAGTGAGGGACCGTGCTATATCAAGAGAGGCAGCTTACTTACGTATTCATGTTACTATTTCTAGAACACGATCAGCGGCCGAACACCCAATTAACTATTCTAGTCCAGCCCTATATAAGCCCGGCTCTTCGCCCATTCCAGGTCGACCCCCAGCTCTAAACACCGGTGTACACCTCTCCACGGATCCAGCTACTGTACTTTATTTACAGGGTTTTATTGGTTTTATATATTGTGTTCTCGCTCGTGTATAAATATTGTTGATTTATACTAAGTTTATTATTATCTAGAAACCCCCAATTGACTCAGCGGCTTTACTAGGTCGCAAGATCCCCCAATCCTCCCCACATTCCTCTTAATCGTTAATTTTAATTTATGCGTTCTTTTGAACACATACTGAATATATAACAAAACAAAGTCTGTAAATATCTTAATACAAGAATATTTCTTATAAAACTGATCGTAAATTACACTAATTTTTAAAATGAATTACTCGAAACCTAAATATGTTTCACTTACCAATGTTATCATGTAAATGAAAGTCCCTCCATCACTTTCCGAATGCCATGTAGGATCAAACTGATCCATATAATACTGATTGCCCTTCTCTACAGTAACCACCATAGCTACTGCCAAGTAAATCGACTGAAAAGCAGATAAACTGAAAGCGAAGAACATATTCCACAAGAACTTCCTAACATCTGTAGATGGATTGTTGATTATCTTTAGTCGGTAATGGAACTGTGGTGCTAATATAAGAACATTTTGAAACATGACAATAAAATGGAAGGTCATTAGGACTGGGTGAAATGCAAAAGGAAGATAAGGCTCTATACCATAAGATACAAAGTAGGCAGTACTGTTATAGATGTAAGTTTGCTGAAATTATATTTTGACTTATAGTTCTTTATTATATTGTGCTATAATACTATAATAAACTGACCTCTGATTATTCATTTTATTATAATAGTTAACCATAAAATTCACTTACATGTTGCATTGTAACCTCAAAGAAGCTAGAACACAAGTCTTGAATCGTTGTAGCGACCAGTAGGTAAGAGAAGGCCTTTGCTCGCGACTTTGTGGTCAGCACTACCCACAATAACAACCCGTTGAGTACCACTCCCAGACATGCACTAGAAAAGGAAATCACCCATGGTATATACATCAAACCAGTACTTTGCGAGGTAGTCATACATTAGTGCCTGTGAAAGCAATGACCAATTCATAGCTTTTGTCATAGTTAAGGTACTACCAGATGTTTTTAAAGTTCTTTTTTTTTCAACTTGACATAGTTTCGTAAGCTTGCTTTAATTTCACAGCTCATTTGCGTATTTTCAGGTTAATTTATTCCAGAGACAATCGCATAGTTTGTATTTTATTCGCAATGTTGAAAAAATATAGATTGATGTTATAGTGAATTATGTTTTAGGAGCATGCTGCAATTTGTACTTATGTTCAAAAAATATTTATTTTCGCAATGACACTATTTAAAAACAGATATACAAGACAAATGAATGGAAACTTTCCCATCCTTATTCTCCAAAGTATTTTCGAATTGTTTTCTCTTTTCCTCTTTTTCGTCTCTTACCTCTCACGTAAGTGTCAAACCCAGTCAAAAGGAAAGAAAAGCAAACCTCTTTTATGGATAACATAAATGACTGATAAGCTTTGCGCAGAGGCGATAACGTGACCAATGAGGCCTAGCCGAGGTGCGTTTATTGCTGGTTGAAAACTTCTACCAATTGCCCGCCACGTCGCCTGCCTCGAGCGGCGGCGTCGGCAATTTTTGGACGGCCTTCGGGGCCAAAAATACTCTTTTTACAGTAGTAGCTGCTTCACTAATTTATGTATTTTAAAACAGTTTGTGAACATTGTTTAGTTGAAAAATATAAAATTAATATAAGAGTAGTTGCACTTCTAATTGTTACAAAAAATTTCAAGGTTTTATTTATAAAAAGCGAAATTAAATCTACCTCTTAGTATTTACTTAATTTTATTCTCACATTACTGTATAATCATATTACAAAAAGGTTAACAACCGAAGCCAACCTTACGAACTTTACATCCGTTACTCTGTATTTCTGGAAATACCACGTGGAAATTTGGGTACTTAAGAGTTGTTTGTGTCATAAATAAAAAACAAGTGTTGATTAAATTAAAAACATTGCCACAACATGACAACGACCGTAAAAAACAAAATATAAACGAAACAGCATAAAAGACCAAGCTTATTCTTAGTTTCTTGATGTTTCTGCACCGTAAATTGAATCAACTGTGCACACATGTCTTTGTTTGCGGTACTGTTTACTTTGCTGTAAATTTTGTTGACGATATTCTGTTACTTTACATTATAGTAGTTTCATTTGTGAAAGTATAAAGGCCAGCGCAAGTATCGGTTTTTTATTCTTAATTATCAGTTTGTAAGATCGTTTTACATCGTTTATAGTAACTGTGCTTTTTAGAGTATTACGTAGCCTACACATACGCTACTAAGTACATGTATATGTTTAGTTATTTAACCTTTGTTTCTAATGTTAAAACTAAAATTCCCTGAGGCCTTAATTTAAATTGTAATTGAGAAAGTTAAAGACCATCTTTTAGTCAAGGTAAAGTCAAGTATATTGTCTATAACCTTCTCTTTTCCTATATTTTCTTAAACTTAACTTCAAGCTAACTCTGTAATCTCGATACTTACAGTGTCACACACAGTATATAGTAATAGCACTACTAGAAACACCAGGAAGTTCAGACCTTTTTCAAATTGTATGTATTTAAATTACTCTACTATTAAAAGATTTGTCAATGACTCGAGTCAATGGTGAACTACCGTAGTCTCCTTCAGAATTCAAGATTTTATTTCCGGTTGTCATTAATTTCCACGTTTTATCAATGGAAATTTAATTTGGCAAGGAAAGAGGTGGTTCTGCCCTGTGTAGCTCACGTAGGCTCTATTATATGCTTATAGGTGGATATATATATATGTTTACTTCCACATGTATGATAACAAACGTCTTCTATAGACTTGGGGGTTTTCATAGGATACAGTAAACGCGTGGTAAGTGTCATTATGGCTGTATATGATATGTTTATATTTAGAAACTGAATGGAATAGTAGAGTAGCTAACGAAGCTTATATATTATAGTTAAATGTTTTGATTATGGTCAGTAAAGTGAAATAAAGGCTTTAATTGTTTTTTATATAATTTTTCATATCTATGTATCTTATAGTAATGACCGCAGAATAAACTATATTATTCTACTTGAATGTAAGTATGATACTGCTCCAGTAAGCCTATTAGTCGTAATAAATTGTAGTAACTTTTTTACTTTACAGCCTCAATAAGTTGAGCTTATAGATCTTTAGTTCCTAGCCACAAACTACAGTAATCCATGCAAAGATCTTTTCAACTTTTAAATAAAAAAAAAAACAGCAAACACTTTTAAATTCATTCCTGATTCATGATTAGGAAGGCTTCTGAATGCAGATTCACAGCTAACCATGTTAACGATGTTATTATGCACGTGCTTCTGATCTATAGAAACTTGGAAAAACAAGCTAATAAATCTGGATTTTGAATAAAAAGTAATGAAGTATATGTTTAGAAGTACATAGTAACATTTATATTTGGGCAGCAAGTAAGTCACTTGACGTGTTATGTCCTAATCCTAAAAAGATGTTGCTTTATTTTTAAAACTGTAGTACTTACTCACACAAATATTAACTTAGAAGTTGTATCAATAGTAGCTTTTATTTTGATTAGTTTCTAATTATCAAAAACTTTTTGAATTTCCTATAGTATAATATTTAAAAGAATGTCTGCTATTATTCCCAGGCCTACACCATCTCCACGCTTATGGGAATTAAACTCAACTCTTAAACACTTTGGGATCTAGGAATAAGTCATTAGTGCCTTACATGTTTGCAGGTTCTTTGAATAACAACAACAGTAATGCCTTCTCAGAAGATTTTTGAATGTTTACCTTACAGCGTAAGCACAATTTGACTCTATGTTGTAGGAACAATGTTACAGGTTAATAAGGGTACTCTTTGTGTCGTAGAAACTGCATGTTAAAGCCACGATATTTGTTGTAATTTTCCATTTTTGAACGACTTGAACCCGAAATTACCCATAAACATTACCTTCTGTCCACAATGTTTGCTGGTATTGTGAACAAAGTTCAAAAGATAATACTGGTGTATAAAATTAAATAATTAAATAAATTATCATATTATCGTACCTTGTGCTTCCGTTTTTGTTTCATATTCCGTGTACCATAGTTTGTATTGTAAACATAAAACTGTTTATATTGTTGTAGATATGGACTTCCTAACAGCCTTTTGGTGGTCAGACTCTATAGGATCAATATATGGGATCTTATTCAACCTTCTGTTAATAGTAGCAATTGTGAGAACGAGTAAAGATGGGTTTCACTCGTTTTCGTATCTTGTGCTTGCTTCTTCTGTCAATGATATGTTGTTTTCTGCATATGCGTTGACTATTCAACATGTAAGTTCATATTGTATGTTGTTATTTTTCTAAATTGTGGTTTATATAGTTCTCCTAAAAGCTCACTTTGTAAAGCATAATTTATAAAATTGGTATTTACTTGTGTTTCAGTTAGTTAAAATCGACGACGGAGTAATTTACTCGTTCCCTCGAGGGGTCGAGAAGTATGTTCCGACTGAATATCTACCAATATTTGCCTTTCTTCACCTATTCTCCATCACAAACACATTCACAACTCAACCTGCCATATACCAATACAAATACCTTATCGTATCTTCCATGGGATGTCCCCCATCTCCATATAAATTACTCCGTAACCTTTTTATCGCTGCTCTTGGTGCGGGCGCAGCTGGGTTGACCTTTGCCTTGTCAACGATGAAGACAGAAGAGCACGGTAAAGAGTACTACATCGAGAAACTGAGTCCATTGTGGTTTAACAACGATGGCACAACTGACTTCATGTACGCCGCCGATTGGTCAGATATAATTACTAAGATCTACTTTGTGGCGGTAGCATGTGTATGTAGTTTATCCAACGTGTTAACATTGTATTACATAATGGCATCCATGAGGGTAGTACATACAACAGTAAAGACTGTTAGTTCTACTACAAAAGCTCTACAACGTCAGTTTACTAAAGCATTGATTAGCCAGGTAAGCTAGTATTGATAGAACGAGATAGATAATAATATATAACACTAAGTAATGCGTATACTATAGCATATTCACACTGTAATTCTGTTTCAGACCATAGTTCTGGCGTTGTTTGCCATGTTACCATCCACCTTTTATATGGGCTTCCTGGTATTCAAACTGAAGTCAGAGTATCTGGGAATCATAGTGATGTGGCCCTTGTCATACTTCTCGGCTGTCAACGCTCTACTGCCACTTATATTCATCCGAGCCTATAGAACATTCGTTCTTAATCTAGTTGGCATTAGACTAAAATCGGACAAAGTAGTACCATCTTCGGAAAAAGGTACCGAAACGACAAAAACCAATAAAATTACAGTAGAAAAAGGCAAAAATACAGTATAACTACAATTATGTTAATTGTGATTTTCGTAATATAAATAAACCTTCCTAGTTATTGTATGTTTAGTACTGGAAATACTGTGTACAAATTTGCATTTTGTAACATGTTTACATATTATGGTAGTTATTGTAATCGACAAAGTCGTTTATATAGTATAGTAAAGATTTATATTCAAAACAAGGTTTGTCGAATACAAAATGAAGGGTCAACCTGTACTAAAAATAACTAATGTACTATACTAATACTATGAAACATTACATTAAATTTAACATATAAACCTGTGTAATCGTACAGTTTTATACTACTATAATGTCCATAAAGTAGCTGTAATAAGCCATATAAACTCCGAATACCTATTAATATCACAGTAATAGCCTACTACAATGTAACTAGAGAATACAGCCCCTTTTGATATCATAATTAGAAACATAGCAAACACGTCAAAGATACCTAAACGTATCATTAAGTATGGCACGTCGTGTAAAATGTTTACTGTAAGGGTAAAGCTACAATACGAAAGATAACTGTTTTCTTGTAAATCTTAAATGCAGTATAGTAATGTTACCTTTACTGCATAGTACCTCTGTTTAAGAACGTGTGTAGATACTTTATCTTTACAATGTTGTAATCGAAAATAACTTTCTACTTACGTGTACATCCATGATGACTTAACGATAGCAGTTGTATTTTTACACTCATGAATAGTAATTACTTTGTCATAATTTCACATCCGTTTATGGGAGTAAGTAATTAACAAGTCTATGTATGACAGATAATATTACTCTTGCAACTTGACGTGTCACGTCTTTATCTTTCACACTTTAATGTAAAAAAAGCAATTGTCATGTATTGCTAAGATAATAAATTTACTTTAACACGTGGTTAACAACGTGCGGACTATTGTGTGGCTACAGTATCAAAATATAATATTATATATAACTGTGTTTACTCTATAGTATTTAAATTCTATAGTAAACTTTCACGTTTTCTTTATATAACACTTATTGTCTAGATTCGCAAAGTAACAGTAACATCTTAAAAAAGCTACTTAAAAAGCGTTACAGTGTTCAACAGTAATCATATCGACCAAGTTTTCGACCCTTAGTATGTTGTTTAGCATAAACTTTCTGAATGCATATTGGTGGTCAGATACTATCGGATCAGTTACTGGTATATTACTGAACCTGCTTTTAATATCAGCCATCTTATCTACAGTCGGCAAGAAGTATCATCCTTTTTCAAATTTAGTTCTGGCATCAGCCATAAATGACATTATATTCTCGGCTTATGCCCTTACTATTCAGCACGTAAGTAAACTGTTATTGTATTTATACTACCATTCTAAACCAAAATCACCCACCACACACAAACTTAAGTCACAAACGATAATATTCTCGTATATTATTACCAAATATTGTTTTAGCTAGTCCGAGTAGATGATTGTATTGTATATGCGTTCCCCAGAGGTATAGAGAAGCACGTCAAAGAAGAATACCTTCCCATCTTTGCTTTCTTTCACTTATTCACAATTACCAACACATTTACTACACAACCAGCCATTCATCACTACAAGTATCTAATTGTAACAGCAGTAAGGTAAGCTCAGTAAATATAATATTGAAGTAGGTTTAAGGTTATAAAATTTTTTTTAATTAGACTTATTCCTCATCTTTTACAAGCTTATAGTTAAGTTTATATAATCTTATAGTTATTTCAATAACTGTAACAAAAAAGTTAACGGTTAACAAAACTTTTTCCAAAACAAAATGTAAGAAAACTTCCTCACAAACTGCTCGTCCTTCTTCAAACTTGAAAAAAAAACACACTTACATTTCAATATTCTAATCCAACATTTACATAATTAACAGAATTTCATCCTAATAAAGTGTGAAACATAGGTATCATTATCAAACACACAGAGAAACGAAATAAAATCGAAAAGAATAGCGCAAAAACGGTAAATATAATATAATAAGAAAGTAAAACTTGGCCCAAATTTATGAGTCAACATTCTCTTTCATCAATAAAAAATAAAATTTTATAAAATTTTATTGAATTCCTTTTGGATTTATTAGGAAAGTTGACAATTTCATGTTCTTTACGACTTTTAGTGTAAGTTTTTTTCAAGATTTTTATAATGCGGTTAATAAATTTACTTTACTCTTGATTTTATGTTATGCTTTCAGAACGAAACCATCAACTCTGATCCTAATACGCAACTTCGCTGGTGTTGGAGCAGGCCTGACAGGCTTATCATTTGCGATGTCAATGATGAAGACAAAGGATTATGGGGATAGATATTACGAGAAGAGGTTGACTTTGATGTGGTTCAATTTAGATGGCTCTACCGACTTTCTTTATGCTGCCAACTCTAGAGACGACATCACCAAGTTGTACTTCTTGACTGTGGGTGTGGTATGTAGTGTTTCGAACGTCATTACCTTGTATTACATTGTGGCAGCGATGAAGGCAGTGAATAAGACGGTAAAGAATGTCAGTGCTACGACAAAAGTGCTACAGAGACAGTTTTCAAAGAATTTGATCAGTCAGGTAAGTGGTAGTTTTATATTATGATAGGTAATAGCTCTAAGCGCATATTTTTACATTATTTTATGGTTTGAGTTCTTGCTTACACTGGAATAGTGAAAGGTAGTAAAAATAATGTTGTAGACAATAGTGCTGGCTCTGTTTGCCATGCTACCATCACTGTTCTACATGGCAGCGTTGATATTGAGAATTAAGTCAGAATACATGGGTATTGTTGTTATGTGGCCATTGTCTTATTTCTCGGCAGCTGCCGCGGCAGTTAATGCTATTTTACTATTACTATTTGTCAGAGTTTATCGACACTTCGTGCTACGATTATTTAGAATTCGACCAGAACCAGAGAGTGTTATCACTTCTTCTGTTACGATCACTGAAATTACAAAAAACTCAGAGCTTTATGTCCAAAGGGGGAATAGTGTATGACTATGATGTCTCTCTTATCTTATGATCCCTCATTATATAATGAAATTTAACTAATTAAAATATGTTTTATATTAGCAAAACCTAAGGTAATATAACTCTTAACCTTTATGTTCATATCATGTTGTTGTCTGTCCAAGACTAGACTAAATCAAGGTGGAATTGTAATGTTTTATTATAAAACCTGGAACTCGGAGATTGTTAATAAAACTCATTGAAATTCAAAGTCCCAAGAGAGCTTAATTACGTTGGAACTTGCTTCTTGAAACTTTGCACGTTACCTATACCTATTTGTTTCCAGGTAGAGATTTTGAAACTTTTTATACAAATTACTTATTTTTATAAAAATTTGTACGTAATTTCGGGGGATTTATTTAAAAATGGCAATATTTTGAGTTAGTTTGTGCATTGTTCGTCGGGTGGATTATTTCTTGTTGAGGGGGTAGATCGAAACGTTAAGGGGGTAGATCGGAGCCTTGAAGGAGTAAATCGAAAAATGACGTTTAAACACCGCTGTCTTGGATTGCCATGAGAGTATTTTTATAGTGTACGTTGTCTATAACATCACAATAGCTTGTTTTAGCTAAGCTTTCTACTGATTTACCACTTTATTATTGACTGTCATTTATAGGTTTGACAGGTTTCGTGAATCAGTAGCTAACGACGTTGTCGCGAACCTGCCTTCCTGTCTTAAGTTTTATCTCTTCTCTTATCCCCCCCCTTACAAAACTTTGTACAAAACAAAGCCTGTGGAGACAAAAAGGAACAGCAGGAACGACGGAGAACGTTGGCGCGATCGTCAAGTTCCGCTTTTTCCTAATAAACGTAAACAAAGACGCTCTATCAAGCTCGAAATCGGGGGGATAAGATTTATTTATTTTTACAAAACTTTTGATGGTTTTGCATTGTAATCGCCGATTGAATTACTTTGTAATCGCTGATAACATTACAAAACGCTTGGAAACCGCTTTGCGCGACTTTTACAGTTATTGTTATTACAATAAATTAATTTCGTGGAGCTTGTTCTCGAATCTTGGCTACAGTACGCCTTGGGGTTTGTAATTTAGTTTTGTAGCAATTTTACGGTTTTAAAATGGCAGTTTTTGAAATACTTTGAGGCTTAGTAATGTAAGGCTTTTTTGTAGGTATTGCAAGTTCATTTAGCATCTTGTGTGTCTTTGAAGTATACGGTAATGTTTTGTATATTGAGTATTTTACTGTACAGGACAAATTAGATTAACTTTTTTAGTTTTTAAATATTTTTAAAATTAAAATTTTTACAAAATTAGCGGTTTTCGTAGTTATCCATGGTCGGTTCCCATACAAATATTCGCAAGGCCGTAAGTTGAGTTGTTAATTTGATTTGTTTCATTCGCAGGAAGTAGGTTAATTTGCATAAAATGAGGAACTGTAAAGTACAAATAAGCATATTGTCATCTTGTTTTAGCTATAATATGGGCAAAATAGGGGTAATGAAATGGTCGTCTTTTGTGTTTTAATTTATTGGTTTTGTGGACACTATGTTATATACTAAGGTTTTGCGTAATAAAATATATCAAGGTATTGGTAGATTACTGGTAAATTTTGAAGTTCATAAGTAGTAAAGAGGTATAGGACATTCTTTCTTTTAGGATATTGTTTCGATTTTAATTTACAGTCAAACTTCTTTTTGGAAATTCACGGTCGAAAGCACAGCACGTTGAACTCCATTGTTCGCATCTGTTACCTAAAAGAGCGGATCTGTGGAAGGGTTAATCACCTGCATAACTTCCCTCGTATCTTTGTTGACAGTTTGACACAAAGTTTTGCGAACTCGAATTCTGGTTTTTTTGTAATTCTGTAATGTTCTCCAGCGATTACAAGTTTTCACGTTAAATTTACGCAATTCCACGTTACGCTGGGCGGAAGTTACTGTAACTTTTTTACGAATTGGGGATTTATTATTGTAAACTTTATTGGTTGCGTTTTGTAAGTTTTGTCATGTTTTACTGTTGGTATTGATTGGTGGTATTGTGGTTGTTGAACCTAGATGATTACTGTAGATTTGAGGTCATAACTATGAAGTTTTTGGTGCACGATTATAATGTGCTTAGTTAGCTATCTGATTTTTGGAGGGGGAGTTAGGGTTGTCTGATTTAGTTTTATACTCTTGTGATACGAAAATTTTACTACAGTAGACTGAGCTTTCTTTAGCTGAAGTTCACTAAAGTAACAATTTTTATAGTACATGTTTGTCTGATTGCATTAACTCAACAATTTCTTCCTGCTTCAAACACAACCAACTTACAGTAATAGCCGAACTTAATAAACCTTGTTTATAGTAACGGAACAAAGTAAACTCTATTTACAGTATCAGCTGAACATAGTAATCTTTGTTTACAGTAAGAGGCGAACATAGTAACCATCAACTTTAAACCAACTTCTATTGATAAGAAAACAACCCGAGTTTATATTTTCTGCAGGTTTCGAAGTTCTGTAATTACTGTTAGAGAGAGGGGTTTACTTGTTTTCGTATTCTATATAGCCGTCGATAAGCAGCTTTTGTTGCAGGTTGGGGTTGATATTGTGGTATAAGGACTTTACTTCTGTATATCATACTGTATTAATGTTGATGACTACTACATATATTTTGATTTTAATCTTTTTGTATGTTTAAGACGGTTGCATATTACTTCATAAGGTTTGAAAAGGCAGAGTAACTGTTCACAAGCGAGATAAGAAAGAGTTCAGCAAGTTTATTTATTTTAATTGGAATTGATAAGTTTTTACAAGTACCTTAACTTTATATTGTTATACTTGATACCAGGCTTAACAGTTTGATCTTTTGTCTTCTGATATTTTTTTTTCATTATTTTATAGTAACGATACGATAAATGGGCATTTTTGTAGTAAGAGCATGTTAGTGTAGAGCAAAATTGATACATTGGACATTACTTATGACACAGTAGTAGTAGTCGTTACCGTTTATAGTTTTGATGCATGTTATAGGATTTTTACCTGATATAGTATTGTCACATATTATAGTATCTATTAAGTGCCACCTGCTTGGCTCTAAAAAACGTTTTCCTAGTATATCATATTTACCTTTGATAACCATTCAAAGTTATTTTTCGGTGAAATTTGTAACAAAAAGTGTTTGTTGTTAGCGCCGTTGTCATTAATCATCGCGGCACAAACTTAAATTTCACTTTTTGAAGCATAATTTTGGCGCGACATTTAAAAGATTGAAGTTTAAGGCTGGGCAAGGGATTTTAAAAGGTTTTGAGTTATTCTTTATAATATTATGATGCTTTGATACCTTTATTACAAGTTGTTGTGTTAGATCACTTAACCTTGATCTTTGTGGTTCAAACATTGCTTTTTAAGATTTAGGTATCAATTTAAAACAATTTGATACTGTATAGTCTCTGGCAACGCTTATTTTCTATAAATTAATTTAATTGTTTTTGTGGACTTTGGAGTAATTAAAGAGTATTTTTTACTCTGTTACACTTACTGTACTTTGGATGTTTTAGCCTTGTTATCTGTAATTTGCAGCGTGACCCCCAACTTAATTCTCTCAAAGATCACGTGTATTTTAAGTTTTTTGAGCATTCCGTTATGCAGTAGCCTTATCTTACAAAATGGAAAACCTTAACTAAACAACTTTGTTGAGAGATAAGGACGAGGAGATTAGCTTAACTCCACGTTTTCAAAGTTGCAAATTCCACTACTGTAAAATGAAGTGTTTTAGATCTGGTTGCAGTAGTTTAGGAAAGTTGTAGAGCTTTATATACTGTAGTTTAGTCTATGCTGGGTGTACTATAATATAGTTGACATAGTAAGACCAAAACCATACCACACCACCCTTATCACATTGTTATTTGCCCACAAAAAACTACTGTTCCTCCCCAAATATTTCCTATTTACGGCGTTTCGAATTTCGATACAACGGTCTAAACTTGACTCCAGATAAAATGTTATTTCCCTGCACGCCTAAACAAATAAACATGACAATATATAGTTGGCTTTGTATTTATTGTTTTGGCTCGAAATTAAGGCCTTTCAATAATATTAATGGCCAAAGACAAAAGATTTAAATATTCTTTTCACTCGTCTTCAGGCGGTTATTTGCATAAAAAAAGTTACTGCCACTTTTGGCGACATTCAAATTGATGACATTTAGGTTTATTTTAATTTTGTGGCATTTTAGGGAGTATTTGAAGGATAGAAAAGGCATTATCTAGGCTATATGAAAAGTTTTGATTTTATCAATGTAAGTATCACATTAGCTTTAAAATTTTTACTTTGAGCTCATACTGAACAAAATTAAATTTATTACTAAAATTCGCAAAGTTATAAAATTTTTAACCTTACTGTATTTTAGTTTAAACCTAAAAACTGCTTTTTAAAATATAATTATACAGTACATTTTGAAATCTCGCAGCTCTACCGTACCATTCATAACATATTCAGCTTGACGATGTAAACAACAACATTGTTGGGTCCCGCCCCGACTGTTTGTTTGCGTTTTAATTTCAGACAAACCTCCAGAAGCGCTGGAAAAAATAATTTGGAGAAATAGACGCCCATTTAGAGCCTACAACAACAAGGAATTGGATGACTTAGCAAATAAAGCGGCCGAAAACATTCAAATCCTTTTGTTTTTATCCACAACAAGATCATTCGAAGCGCCACATGGGCGATCTTTCGGTAAATAGGCAACAACTTACTGTGGTTTTCGCATACCAAAGGGTAAGCGGGGTGGAGAGGGGGGGGTGTAGAAACGTTATTTTATGCCGTTTAGGGGGTGCGAATTTAGAAATTTAGAAATTTTTTAATTAATTTTGATCGAGCTTGCTGTTTACAAGCCTGTTTTCTAAATATAAACTTGATTTCAAAGTATTTTCTGCAAAAACAATTCCTCTCAAAAAACAGCAACTCGCGCCCTATCTTTACTTTCTCGCGCAGGCTGCAAATCGAGAATCTTTCTCGAAAAGTCAGTTAAAACCGCGACATTTAGA